ATGCCTAAACAAAATCGAGACTCGTCACTAAAGACAATATTGTTCCATTCCTGATCCCAGAGTGACCGTTGTCTGCACCACTCAAGGCGATTACGTCGGTGTAAGGGTTAGAAGGCGACGTGGTGAAAGGAGGAATCCACAAATTTTTTTTGAAAGACATGTTCATCACAGTGTTGGAGTTATGGTTTGGGGTGCTATAGCTTATGGTTCCAGGTCACCTTTAATCTTCATCAGAGGTAACATGAACGCGCAGCGTTATATCCACGAAGTTCTAGAACCCCATCTTTTACCCCATCTTGACACCCTGGCAGATCCAACTTTCCAACAAGATAATGCCCGACCATATGTTGCAAGAGTCACAATAGACTTCTTTCAACATAATGATGTCACATTGTTACCATGGCCACCAAAATCTCCCGACTTATCCCCAATTGAGCACGTGTGGGATATGATGGGTAGGAGATTGCTCAATTTGCAACGTCCTCCTCAGACTCTAGAAGCACTTCGAGAGGAGTTGGTGGTTGCCTGGAATGAGATACCACAGGAGGACATTGACCACCTGATCAGAAGCATGCCTAGGCGCGTTGGAGAATGCGTAGCACATCAGGGTGCATCCACACATTATTAAAGGTCAAAGGGCTTTAAAGCAGTGCAATCATTTTGAAATTTTTATCATTTACTTATTATGCTTCATTAAGTACTTATACAAAATTTTATTGAAATCAAACCATTTAAACTGGGTGTTCGGATTTATATGTCACTTAGTATATTTTAAACGTATTCTGACAGCTGTGATTAATAAAAACAATTGTCATGGCTTTCATTTTTCACAGCCACCTATGCGTTATAGACTTATTTTGCATTGAAATGAAAATAGGTTGATATGCTGTAATTGCAACATGTGTTATTTTTATACTGCAAATTTGATTGGCGAGTGATAAAGTTGGTGTTTTCTACTATATATTATCAAAATATTCATTGTTAATATTTTAAACCTATAACACCTTGCTACATTTTATTATTTGTGTCTGATAAGAAAAAAACTAAGATTTCAATAATTGGGCCAACTGAAGTGGGAAGGGGCTCGTACCTAGGCGATCCTGAGTTTTTTGGTTTACGGGGTGTCATACTAGAAATGTACTGTATAGGAATGAAGAAAAGAAAAAATAAGTGAACTGTTACCTGGGAGACAGATAAGCAAAAATATACTGTTATTAAAAAGGCCACCGTGTATTGGCCGAAATAATACTAATAATAAAAACAATAATGGCCTTCATTTTTGGGTTTGACAGCTGCATAAATATACTCAGTGACATTAAAAGTGCTACACCCAAAAATAATTTCCTCAACTTGATTTTTTTGCAATGAAGGTACTCTTACATCAAGAATGAAATGATAGCAGCTGAATACACACCTTTCTAGGCATCGAACCTCTCAACTTTCTGATACAATTCTCAAACAAAATCCTATTTTTCTAGAGTGAAAACATCTCAGAAAAAGTTACTGCGGTATCGATGCGTTATAGTCTTAAATTAGTAAAGTTAGGCGATTACCATATTTTTTATGCATGTTTGTAGGGAGTAAAATGAATTTTAAAATTGGATCAGAAGTTTGGCGATTACCATATTTTTTATGCATGTTTGTAGGGAGTAAAATGAATTATAAAATTGGATCTAGCAATCCGCATTCAAAATGCCTCATTTTATATTTATAAATGGCATGGGATAATTAACAAAGCGGATTGTATTTGAACTCAACTCAAATAAATCATTTCGTTTAAGTTCTGAATGATGCGTGAAAATTGGGCCTGTTCCAAATTGATGCATTTTTGGACCAGACCATGAAGGAAACTGCAGTTAATGTAGACGTTCATGTACGATATATATGCTTTATGGCCTGTGTAGATTTTGAGCTATTTTCTTTCAAAGCACTGTGAATATATACAACTATAAAATCCATATGACATTGACTCAGTTACCGATTCGTTACGACTTTGGTTAATCAGCGGGACACAGGCATTAAATGTTTGTACAAATCGTTGTTTTTAATACATTGGTGAACATTGGGGACTGACAAGACAAGTATCATTAGAATTTGACTGAGCATTTTGTTTGAAGCGAGTAGGCCAAAAATGGTTTCCTGATGATACTTTCAAATTGTCATCATGATAGGGCTGGAGTACTTGCCGCCATTTTGATGAACGCGTTTGATAAAAAATCTCTGAAACCATCGATCCTATGTCAAAAAGTAATAGAAACAGTTTTGTGAGGAATTAAATTCTTCATCATCATATGCACCTCGAACTGTCAAGTCTGAAAATCCTCCATTCGATTATTTGCTTACCGTTATCTGATACTGATTATTGCTAAAAAGCAAGAAACAACATTTTATACGGTTGGTTATGGTTACAGAGACGGAAAGTAAAGATATTCAGCCAATTGAAAATTGAATTTTTTAGTGAGTTTAGGATGACCATGTATATCTGTTGGGCGATGTTTTTTTAAGTCAACGGTCATTTGAAACCAGAAAAATTGTGGCAAAAATACTTTGAAATGCACAGGGTATGAATAAAGTCTCGTCAGATATTTTGGAACACCCTGTATGCGTGAATTAATAATAAAGAGGCATTATTTATTTTTACTGATGTCTTGCTTTATTAACCGACCGCCCCACAGCGGTCTAGAACACCCAAAAAGATGGCAAAACATGCAACCTCTGTAGCATCCTCACGAAATTTGGTACAGAAGGGCTTTTGAGGTATGATTTCAAATCTGCTGTCAAACAACAGAAATTCAATATGGCGTATCCAATATTATGTTTCAAACATAGCAAACAAGAAAATACAAAGTGATTATAACATTACTTGAAAACTAAAATTTGGTCTCTGAAAGAACGAATCTGAGGTTAAATAGACCTTTGATTAATTTCGCACCTGTTTTGAGATACCTCCAGCCACTTATTTCCAAATTTTGATATAGGTAAATCTTGTAAGATTTCTATTTTCGGTACCTCATAGCTTTTGTTCACTTGTTTGTTTCAAAATTTCGCCTTGCAATTTATGATACTTTTATCTAGACACTTTTATAGAAAACCATGCGGCATGTTGGATAAATCACCATATCTAAAGATTAAATCCTAATCTGAAAGTAATATAACGTAATATAGCAAAGGGTGGATACAAGCATTTGTTTTAGCTGGTTTGGATTGATTAAGCCCATATTGCTAAAAAGATTGTGAAAGTTTTGATTCCAGCTTCTAAATGATGGTAACAGAATCCGGACACATGTTTATTATATAGAAGATGATATACATTAGCTTCTGTAGTAGAATCCATACTGAGATATCTCAGTATGGATTCTACTACGATATCTCGGATTTTTCAAAACACCACACGGTGCATAATGTAGAACGTCAAGGATTTTAAAATATAAAAGTTATAATAAACTACTATACTGTTACCAAGTATCAACTTTCAAATACGTGATAAATTCCATCCATTTCTGTCACTTAATTTTTTGTCTTTTTTCCCAACTCTTTGGGTGTTCTAGACCCCTGCGCAACCATTTACAAGCTGTATAGGGTAAGTCGAGGAAAGATGGCCATACTTTTTATTATTGGTTATATTGTTTGATAGATGGAAAGTACAAACTTGAAATTTGGTATAGAGTTACTCATGTGTAGGTTGATTACCTTTAAAATTCAATGCGAGCAGCAAAATAGTTTTTTCAATAGTTCTCAAGTCATAAAAAGTTGCATTTGGCCATCTCTTCTACAGTCTGTAGGAGAGATGGCCAGGTAGATTTTATTTATTTTTTCGCAGGCAAATAAAATACTTATGTCATATTAGACGCACACAACACTTTATTTTTACATAAACGATAAAAAATAAAATGGGAACTCACCCAAAGTGCCGCATACATGTTTTTTTACAAACTAAGAGCAGTTTACTTTGCAATATCAGAAGAACACAAATCACAAATAAAATTTGCAGGGGTACTTTGCCCGCTGCATAATTTGTGGACCCATTTTCCACAGTAAATGCACCTATACCAAGTTTCACCGCTCTTCCCAAATTCCTGGCAGACTAAGCAGATGTCCACAATGGCGATGTCGTTGTCATTCAGGTTGTTTTTTTCTATATATTTGTTTTCTTTGCTCAAAAGATCAGCGAGGGGTTCTTCGTCAGATTCTGTAAAACAGCTGTTAATCTTTATTTCCTTGGTTCTACTGACTTTAGGTTTATCATCAGTTTTTCTTTTCTTGGTTTTTTTTGTAGTAAATTCTGAAGCAACTGATCTGGACCGTCTGTTTCCAGATTTTGACAAGTACCTTCTGGTTGAATGTTATTCTCGGCAAGGTTTTTAATAGCGGTTGAACTATTATCGTTGTCTTCATTTATCAAAGCTGGCTCATCAACTTGGTCATCACCAATATTTTCTAAGGTTCTATCTTGAGCATCGGATAAGTTCTGAGTCCCAATTTGAATTGCCATGTCTGGTGTTTCAATTTGAACATAGCAAAAGCGTAGACCGGTATGGCATCTAGATTATATGAAGATACCGGTACTTCTGAAACCACCAACAGCATTATTAATAGTTACAGATTTTCCCCAGGTATCAGATAATAATTCTCCAAGCTGGTATCGTGTTTTACGCCTGCCAGGATGACGCTCCAACCAAAGTCTGCAGTTTGAATCAAATGCATTTTTAACAGACTTGAAAACAGTCCTATCATGGCTGTAAGAAATGGGTGCAATGACTAGGAAAACATAGCAAAATTATGTCATTTTCTTTCGCATACTCCAGCATTTCAACATCTAGTAATAGAAGTGTCTTTCCTTCTGGTTTTCTGGGAGTGAAGTGTTCCTTCAACCAAGACAAAAAAATTGTGAATTGATGTATTGTGACATAAAAAGCTTACTCACGGTTCATAGATTGACTTCTTGGTAGAGAAAGACCTTCGGATTTCCTAATAGTAATTGTGGGGTTTCGCATCAGAAATTATTGCAGCCAGACGTGTCCAGCCATTTCGGTGTTAGGGTTAAATTTCTGCCTAAATCCCAATTGATTAGTGAATTCGTAAGCAAGCCTGCGCACATCTTGTCTGGTTAAGGAAAATCCGCTTTTCTGCATATTTTTGATATGTCTAACCATCCTCTTCTCATTGGAAGTACCCAACAAAGAATCAGGGCCCAGCTTCCATTTTTTATCGTTACTATGCTTAAGCCTTATTTCCAAGGTCTTGCGACGAATTTGGAATGATAAAGAAGCTCTTCTAACGGGCATTAAACCATCTTTAACTGCTGCCATAGCATTTTTAAGGTTGTCCTTTGTCCTACTTCCTCGATTATTGAAATTTTTTCGCATGTACATGTTTGGCATCTAAAAAAATATATCAAAAGTGGGTATCTCCGAATATATTCCCAACAAGACGAAAACAATTGATGGGTTTAAAAAAAAATAAAAAAATAAGTAAAACGTAGTAGAGATGGCCATATGGCCATCTTTCCTTTAAAAAGATAGGGCCATCTCTCCTTATTGTATAGGATAGATGGCCACCGTGTTTACTAAAATCCACGGGACCGGTGGATAAAAATGTGAGGTTAGGTTACATTCAGAAAGTCTAGCGAGAACGTTTAAGCAAGAAAAAATACGATATACAAGGTATTTCCGTCAGAATTACAGTTTAATTAACATAACACAAAAATTTGCATAATGCTTATTTTATATTATCCATTTACTTACGTTTTTATCTTGTTTTTGCCCACAATACCACCACAACCGACGCATACGATGCAGCTGACTACAGTAATGTACAATGTGCGCCACCTATCAGAAAGCCAGCAAAATATAGGGACTGGGCCGTCTATCCTCTACGGCCATCTTTCCTGGACTTACCCTATACAATTTGCCTATGTCCCGTCCCGTTTCCGAATCTATATATTGTTAAATAGCTACATTCAATACCTAACCTAATTCGATTTTTCCAGGTTTTTTTCTGGGTAGATTCGTGTCAGAAAGATCCGGCAACCAAATCCGAGCTGATTTTCAGGAGCTGTCGAGGAAGGTGAACGCATTGAACAATAATTTCCAACGAGCTTTCCCTTTAGACTTCTTCAACGACACTGGCTGCAACAAAACACTGTTCCTGAAGTGCAACTTTTCAGTGATAGGAAAAAATGATACAGGAAGTCTTTTGGCCAGAGACTATCTTAGGATGTTGAACGACTGTTTTGGATACGGCTAGTTTTTAGGAATGGAATAAATTTTGCGGAAAAAGACTTGATTGGATGACAGCATTTCGTTGGAGCCATATCGTCGAATTGTTATTTTAAATAAGACTGAACATTATAGCTGGGGTATTTTTAGTTTCAAGGAACTATTTTTATTGCAATAAATTTCGTTAAATACTTTGTTAAATATATACATATTTCGTAAGAGGAGAAATACATATGTGTATATATTATAGTAAAACGTTGATGACTTTTGCATAGACAAATTTTGTTATTCCTAAAAGAAAATAGTTTGTACCTAAGTTAGTAACTGTTAAAAATGAATTTGTTTGATCATCACTCAATAAAATTGTCTTAGAATGATAAAATATAACTAAAAATAAAAGAAAGTGGAACAGAATTATCTGTTTTGTATTTATATACCAAAGGAATTTCACCTATGAATCAGAAATATGCAGACATCATTTTACACTGTCTGAAATATGGGACAACATGTTGGGAGACAAATCAGTGACGTCATCATCGTTTCTCTTGAACAAATATAGAATTCTACAAATAGAACAGCTGAGAAAACAAATTTTGAAGTATCTGTTTTTTTGAGGGTAAGTAAATTTATTGCGGCAGCAGAGTTGGAGAGATAGTTCTCAGAATAATGTTTTTATGCTAATAAGTAGACAAATAAGAAACCTATACAATGCTTTCCATGTTCCCCCCATTTATTTTTTCTGCAGATCAAGTTAGCAAGCCGATTTTCGGGATGATCAAATTGATGCATCAATTACATTTTAGCGTCAAAGTGGATGTTGAAAATTCCATTATGGCAGCTTGGCGCTAAGTAGTTAAGTCTGAGCAATTTTTACATTCAATCGCCTATAGCACAACGACCAACAATCGAAACGCTAGTGTAGAGCAACTCTGTGAAGATGTGTGGTTGAGTAGCATAATAGCAAGATTGTGTGTATTGGTCTGCATGTGTATAAAATCAGTGATATTTGCTATGTGAAAAAATTACTGAATATGCTGTGCAGGGGTTATTTGTGTTGTTCTTTCTGAATGAGGTTATGTTCACAGTTATATATTGCGATTTTCCCCGTTTCCTTTTGCGCTTTCAAAAACTTTGAGAAACACTGCGGGAAATCAGCACCGCACCCGCGTTGTTTGTCTTTTAAGTTTTGCATATGGAAATAAAACAACACGGTAGGTAGTTGTAAATGACTTTAATGTTTTTCGAATTATTCTCCACGAAGATTAATACACATCTGCATGCGCTCGAACCAATTTTCGAAGCACTTATTCCACTCGTTTGCTGGCAGATCCAAAACGGCATTTTTGAATGCGTCAACTGCTTCTTCTGGTGACTGGAACCTTTCACCACGCAGTCTGTTTTTAATTTTCGGGAAAGTAAAGAAATCTTTAGGGCTTAGATCGGGACTATATGGAGGATGGTCCAATAATTCCACGTTTTCTTCCGATAAATACTGCCTTGCCTTGCCTTGTTTTTTGGGCTGTGTGCGAGCTTGCATTGTCTTGGTGGAGGATGATTCTGGCTTTTCTTCACCTTGGAACACTCAAACAGCCGACTGTCGTTTATTTTCTGGTTCATAACAGTAAATCCACGATTCATCACCACTAACAATACTGCACACATTTTTTGAGTTTCCGGAATTGAATCGGTCAAGCGTTTTTTGACACCAATTAACCCTGGCTGCTTTCTGCTCTTCAGTCAACAGGTGGGGTATCCAACGAGAAACTAATTTTCTTACTCCTAATTTTTCATGTAAAATTTTTTGAATTGAGGTCGTTGAGATCTTCAAGCACGCCTCAATCTCGCGAGATGTCGCATGTCTATCTTCAACAATGAGTTTGCGCACAGCATCGACGTTTTCCTGGGTGACTGCCGTTTTTGGTGCACCCACCCTGGGATCGTCGCTAAGACTCACCCGTCCACGTTTAAATTCTCCATACCATCGGGAAATTGTCGACTGATGTGGCGCTTCGTTGCCGAAAACAGACAGTAACTCAGCAAGGCATTCTTGTTGCGATAATTGTCTCTAATATCTATCTAATAAATTATGATGCGAAAATATTGTCGGTTGAGTTCCATTTTTCTAATGACTTAGTGATAGTGACACTTAAAAATTTACTGTAGTGAGAACACTGCACGTATTGTTGTGAAACTTTGAATTTAAGTTTACTAAAGAGTGAGGTTAAGATTAAGTAGATACTGAAGTTCGATCAGTGCGGCCAACTATGTTTCTATATACAAAACTTAAAAGACATCCCTCGTAATAAGGCAACACCACAGAAAAATTAGGAATGGCGCATCACATACAAAACTCTTCCGCACTGTGTCACATTTCTAGGCGCTGATTTGTATTTTTACTTGACATCGTGAAATAAATTTCTATAAAATTTAAATGACTAGAAATGAAAATTAATAACTTTTTTACGTTTCATAAGTATTTTTTAAACGGATGTCCTAAAAGTTTGGCACAAAATATTTATCGGATTTTTTTTTCATCAAGAAATTTATTTAAACAATAACTAGTTATCAATAACTAGTTATCATAAAGCGTGACTCAACTTACGAAGAATCGAAAACACTAGAAGATCCACTGCTTAAGATTATACTAAATCTGTAGCAGGTGATCATGATACAAAAATTAAACACAAAAAAGTGCAAGTCAGCTTGAAGAAATAAGTTCCATCACTGCATAAATGTCAATTTTGGGGAAATTGTCACTTAGGGTCGTATCGTCAGGTGTTACTACAATTGTAGGAACCACTGACTATACGGCACTTAACCGTTTTACAAATCCGGCTTCCATAATGGTACGAACTTTCGCAGTACTCAATATAAGTACCCTATTTCACGAGTATCCGTCACGCTTTGACGTCAACTGAGGTGAACAGCTGATCAGCAAGTGACATTTTTGTGTTAGTCTGCAACGTTGGCAATAATGGATCGGGTATAAATCTAGTAAAACTTGTTTGTGGCGTTTTGTTTTTTTGTATACAAATTAATTTTTCTAAATAAAAGGGCTGTTAGCAAGTACAAAATGAGTCTGTAGCGTACAAAAAACAAAAAAAAATTCGTTTCTGTCTACCTGGCGTTCACAGATCCGTCAGAATTATGTGTCCTGTGCCGATATAGGGAATTTTGAGATATTACTAGATATCAGCTGTCATTCTACCGCGATGGATACTCGGGAAACAAGGTATACTTATCAGCTGAAAAGCACGTGGCCGCGTGAACAGGTGTGTCTTGTGTCTATAGATTAATGTATAAACGCACAGACGTGAAGTGCGACGGCAACAATAATTTCGCGCTATAATGTGCCAAATTTTAGTATAAGTTTATTGACCAAATTCAATTTTTTTTTCACTGCTTGATTATATTTCAACTATATGTTGCTGGTTTGTCATTACGTATGCGATTCTGTACATCATAAAACTTCTCCATTATATTTGGAGATATGAATCTCATCACACAGCCAAATCCATAGGCGTACTGAATATAATAATCTGCAGATAATTTATTTATCGCCAAGCCCGCATTAACTGAATGATATGGCACAACTCAAAACAAATTCAGACATAGGTAACCTCTGTAAGTTTAATACAATATGATAAAAGCGGAATCCATGAAAATGCTATTTTATCGGAAAACACTTTTTTCTAACACATTACAATATATTTGAAATTTGAAGGTTGTTTTAGGCTCCGAGCAATAATTCAGTACTACTAAAATTCATGGAATTTAAAGATGTCCAAATTTAACAATCTTTTGGTAATAACTTCTATTATTATTATTATTATTATTATTATTATTATTATTCTGTATTTCACTCCTAGAGGAAGGGATGAGCTTGACCGGAACTCTGCCTGAGTTCTAAGGTCTTTAGTCGGAAAGGGTTTTCCGCAAAATGTGGGCTGTTCCTAGCAGTGCTATCTTTTGAACTTGTGTTGCAAAGACATCTCCGGGGAGTTCTTTTATGTTGTTCTTGAATGACATAGTGGCAGTCCCCAAAGCTCCGATGATCACGGGTACCGTTCTTGTCTTTGTCTTCCACATGCGCGATATTTCGATTTCGAGGTCTTTGTATTTTCTGGCCTTTTCCGCTTCTTTGGTGTTGACGTTGTAGTCGTCTGGTACAGATACCTCAATTAGCAGACATGTGTTCTGTGTTTTATTATGGTAAATAATATCAGGTCGGTTGGCGGAAATCGTACGGTCGGTAATGACTCCTTTGTCGTACATAATTAATGCTGCGTCTGTCTCTACTGCTGCTTCAGGAGAATGATCATACCAGTTGTTGCTAACTGGTACTTGGTGCTGCTTGAGGATAGCCCAGTGTATGTATTTAGCGACGTTGTTGTGTCTTTCGGTGTATTCTGTTGGTGCCAGTGTTGAGCAGCCTGAAATAATGTGGCTTATATGTTCCTCACATTGATGGCATATTCTGCATTTGCTGTCGACATTCTGTTTCAGGACCATTCTTCTATGGTAGCGCGTGTTAAGTGCCTGGTCCTGTGCAGCAATCAGTAGACTTTCAGTCTCCGCCTTCAGTCCTGTACTTTTCATCCAATCCAGGGACATGTGTTTATCTACATTGGTTTTGTGTAGGTTATTGTAGAACTGTCCATGGAGTGGTTTCGATTTTAGGGCGTTGACTTTTTCTGTTCGCATGGCCTCCTTTACTCTGAGTTTCAAGTTGTCCGCTGACTGATCTTCGTTCAATTGGTATGCATATTGTCTTTTCATGGCTTCCCCGATCTTTGTAATGGAGTATTTAGCCTTTTGTTGCTCATGCAATAGCACTAACTTGATGAACTTGTCGTTGGAATGGAGTATATACTCATAAAGGCCGGCAATTGTCATCCTGTAGGCACTGTAGAGTTCAATTAAACCTCTGCCACCATCGCGCCTTGGAATATAGAGTCGGTCTTTGTCAGCTTTGGGGTGATGAAACTTATAGATGGTTAACAGTTTCCTGGTTTTTCTATCTATTTTTTCAATGTCTGATCCGCTCCAGTTCAATATTCCAAAGCTATACTGCATTACCGGTACAGCAAGACTGTTGACTGCCTTTATTTTATTTTCGGCGCTCAGTTCTGTTCTCAAGATTCGCCTTAACCGACCATAGTATTCCTTCTTCACATTTTCTTTCATAGATTCATGATGTACCTCGTCACTTTCACGTACGCCAAGATATTTATAGGTTTCACTTAGATCAAGGTAGTCAAATCCTGCACTATTTTCAGTTATTTGGTTTACATTCATTGAGATCTTTCCTCTGGTAATCGTGATCCTTTTACATTTTTCCAGGCCTAACTGCATGCATATGTCCTCACTAAACCGCTTCACAATGTCTAGCTCTCTATCTAGCTGCTTGTTGCTGGATGCGAATAACTTGAGGTCATCCATATATAATAGGTGACTTATATAGGAACCCTGCCTGACCTCGTATCCAAGTTTTCCAGAATTCAGAGCGTTAGTCAGTGGAACCAGGGAGATGCAGAATAGCAGCGGTGACAAGGAGTCTCCTTGGAATATCCCTCTGCGGATTCTTATTTTATCAGTTTTGAGGCACCCTTCAGCGTGATGCAGCTGTAATTCGGTATTCCACTTCTTCATAGATGATTCGAGGAACTTCACAACAATCGGATTAACTCCATATAAACTCAGAGCTTCAAGGATCCAACTATGAGGTATACTGTCGAATGCCTTGGCGTAGTCTATCCAGGCCATGCTTAGATTTCGTTTTCTCTTCTTGGCATCTTCAACTAACATTTTGTCTATGAGTAACTGATCCTTGCAGCCTTGAGTTGATCGACGGCAGCCTTTTTGTTCTGACGGTAGAATGTTGTTAGAGGACAGATGGTCATATAGTCTATTAGAAATAAGTGAAGTAAGAACCTTATACAGTGTGGGTAAGCAGGTAATTGGACGATAATTTTTTGCCTCTTTAGAATTTTTGCCTTTGTACAGCAAATATGTGATACCAGTTGTCAACCATTGCGGAGTGTTGTTAGGATGTTTGGTCAAATTGCTCATAGCAACAGCCAGCTGACAGTGGAGTGCATTGAAGGATTTTATCCAGAAGTTACAGATCTTATCTGGCCCTGGTGCTTTCCAATTTTGCAAACACCTAATGACTTCCTTAACTTCGTCTTCGGTATAGTCATGCCATTGAGAGGTGACAATTTGGCTGTTGTTTCGCCTTTCTTGCTCAATCCAGGCAGCTTTTTTGTTGTGAGGTATCTCCTGCTCTAATATGTCTCTCCAAAATGAGTCGACATCTTCTTTTGATGGTGGTTCTTGTACCTGTACTTCTTCCTTTAGACTCCTGTAAAATTTCTTGGGATTTGCTTGGAATAGCCTATTCTGTTTGTACTGATCGACACGTCTTGTATATCGCCGCAATCTCTGAGCCTTCGCTTGCAACTTCATTTTTAGTGTGTTTATTAGGTCACCAAGCGATGAATGGCTATACTTAGCCCTTATTCGGTCAGCTTTATTTAAAACATGACTGAAAACTACCCCCTTATTTATTTCGCTTAAAATGGATATTTCTTGGCGAATTTGCGAAATTTTGTTCTTTAGGCGCATCTTCCATCGGGGGCCTTCAGGTCCTTCTTTAGTCCTAGGGCTGTTGTTATTCTCTTCCTCTCCCGCTATTATAGCTGCAGAAGCATATATTAGATGATTGAGATCAGTTATTGTTAACTGTCTATCTCTGCAGATTTTACCTAGTGCTCTATTCGCTTTTCTAATATCTTCGGTCAGGTGTTTACCATACTTTGGTTTTTTTATCCCTTTACGGTGTTCAATCCGAGTAGCCTGCACATCATGATATTTTTCAAGAATCTGTTTTTCCAGTTCAACTGCCTCACCCTGAGCATGCCACCTGGCATCGTTATTCTCAGATAATTCGTCATTCTTAGTCGTTATAGGAGTGTTGTTATTCTCAGCTAGCTCTCCTTTATTACTCTCTATGGTAGCAGGTGGCAGTGTAGGTTCATTTTCTTGCTGGTGAAGGTACGAATACACACCGCATTTTATTTCCTGTCGTTCTGCTTCCGTTAAATTCCTTTCTATTACACGTCGCTGGTTTGACAGTTTTTGTGCGTTCATTTCTGGCATAATATTTGGATTACGATTTCTCCAGATCTCGAAAGTGCCTCTTGTTTTTGGAGCTGCGATTTTACTTGCAATCGCACTGTAGTATGCCCACATCACTTCATAGTTCTCCTCCTTTGACCATCTTCGTCTTCTAAGATTATTCATCTGATCAGGTCGTGCTTATTATTATTATTATTATTATTATTATTATTATTATTATTATTATTATTATTATTATTATTATTATTATTATTGTTACTACTCTGTATTTCTCAGAAGTAGTAGATGGCACCTTCTTATTTTGATAGACCATATACATCGGATAGAGGACAGTTGACATGCTTTCGATTCTTGGACTACCTAAGATCAAGCCTAGATCTTGGTAATGAGTTAAAAAAAGTCACGAAACAGCTGTCCTCAGTTGGCTGCTGCGATCGGAGGGCGAAAGCAGTGTGTTTAATTGTTAGATGAACTGTTGTTTTGAAGATAATGAGAAATTCTACAATTATCTACCGGTTATTACAAAAGTCATATGGCAAAAAGCATATTGCTTCAAAGAATACGAAATGCTCATTGTATTCTTTCTATTTATAAATGTAAGTATCACTACTGGTACGCCAATGAGTGTTGCGTTAACTGATATGAAGTAACAGATTTACGAACGCGATTTGTGAGTAAATTAGTTTGGTATTGAAATTGACACACATTTGTATCAACACGTCTGGTTCATGAAATTGTACCACAAAAGTCTCAGTGATGTTCCAAAAGCTAAAAAAAGTTCTGGTTATATATGTGGGAGGTACTATTGGGATGCAGAAGAATGACGATGGAGGTATGTTATTATTTTTTCAATTAAATACTCTTTAAACCACTGAGTGAGATGGATAAGTTACGTAGATTTAAATTTTATAAGGATTCTATGAACCTGACATGTCTGACTGACGCTGATAGTTTAGAAAGTATGTTACATAGCGTACTATATATTTTTTTCACTAGTATACAGAGGTATAGTTGTAGACGCCGTTCCTGGCGTTTACGTCATCAACGCCTTATGAAATAGGTAAACAGATCCAGGGCGAAACACTGCGCAGACTAATCTCAAGCGCACCTGCTGCTCTCTCCAGTACGCATGAAGTGGCTAACAGAGGACCGCTGTTTTTATTCTCTTCCTGGAAATACTCTAATAAATTTTGCACGAGCTGTCGGCTTCATTAATCGTATTTCCGGGCATTGTACAATTTTATATCGAAGATTGATAACAGGACAACGCGAATTGCTTGCCGTTTTCAATACGTTGTCACTCTGACAAATATGATTGAAGGGCACTCATACGTAACGACAAAGTTCTCGAGACGGAGACACAACTAAAAAACGTATGTCTTTGAGCTTACCGAACAAACGTTCACGCACAGGGGTAAGTTGCATATGTACCTATGTATGAGGGAGATGGAGATACATAAAGGGATACTGGTATTTTTACTTTGACCGATCAAGAACGCTGACTTACAACTATATTCTAATATGTAAAAATTGCTTGATCTGATTCCACTTTTTACCAGAATTTGAGAAAACCAAAAACCCTACTCTATGACATAATTTCGACCTACATGAGTAAAACTGTGTTGAAGCTTTCTGATGTCACAAATAATTCATAGCTCAAAATATTAACATTTTTAAGGGTTTGATGCAGTATTTGTGACTAGACAATAATCTGTACGTCTTGCGGTACTTGTAGGAACCATTGTTAATGATTTATATTCTGATGAAAAAAATCGAGGGATGGCACCAAAATTTAGATTTACCTCAGACACTCAAGTATTTTCTGTTCACTAGATAATAAAGCGTTAAACGTCCTAAATTTTGTTTTTGCACGAGAATTCAACACAATCATTTACACGTCATAGAGTAACAAAAATTTTCGAGTCTAGCTTTTTGATGTTTATTTTTTAAGCATTCTTCTGGATATTGAATGTTTTTTTTTAAATTTTTATTGTTATTATGAGGATTCCGACGCATTTGTCTCCGCAGCCTCTTATCTAAAGAAGTCAAAATGCTTATAAACAAGCTTGAAAGATTAGATTTGGTCTTGAACCTGACATTGTTATACCGTCTTATCGACAGAGTGTTATGCAAAATTTCAAACAGTCTATCACATTGTGTAAGCTTATGCAATATTTGCACCATAGAGCAAATAAGGTAATATCATTTGGGTTCGAAAAACAGGTTAGAAAGAACTTGATAATCTTGCCTTGATCAGCAATATGGAATTAACAAAAATGAGAATGCAGAATAAAACTTGCTAGCTATTTTTCACATTTATTTGCTTGCTAATCGTTCTTTGAATTATACTGAGTGACAAAAAAGATAAGCACCTACGTATGTTTACCTGATTTTAATAATTTTTGGCATATACAGTATGTTCAGTGTCCCTTACTAGTAAAACGATTAAAGTTTCAGCTTGATTCGTCAATTGACCGCAGAAGCTGTTTCAATAATGGGTTGAGGATCCACGATTTCTTATACAATCATTGAGCCGTATTCATGAAAGAGAAGCATATCCTCGAAAGCATAAGGTAAAAGTATAAGGTCTTGCTTCGGAGAAAAAGGTAGAAGTATAAGCGTATCCTTGTTTTCATATTCATAATAATTACCTTATACTCGCGAGGATATCCTCCAAGAAGAAGTAAAAGGTTCACTGGTATTTGTATCTTGAGCGACATGTCCTGACTTGTTACAGCTTGTAGTTGACGTGGGAGTTCGTTACACTCAGCATCACTGACAGTTGTACTCCAGAGCTTACACAGACCGTTCCGTATTTTTACTGGATACAGTTTTTTATTAAATTAATAAGCATGTCATCCTCAAGTGATGAGGAAACTATAGAAAATAATGACAACGACCTGCAGTTAATCGCAGATGAAATTGCCATTGCTACCATTATTTTGCAAAGTTCCAAAAATAAAAATGAGAAAGGACGATGCCTTGAAGAATATGTTGAAAAAATACGAATCAACATTCGGTAAACCATTAGATACTAAAGGCTTATTAAAAAAAATCAACAACATGAAATCAAGATTGAAGAAACAAACAGATCTAAAAAAAACTGGTAATAAAGCAATTAAATTGTTAGATTTGGGAAGAAAGTTGCTAAAAGCTATCTAAGGTGACTGTAATCCTACAATTGGGAAAATTAGAGGTGCCATTCAGGTTGGTAGTGTTCAAGAAGAAGGAAGTGAACTATACTAAGTGACATATAAATCCGAACACCCAGTTTAAATGATTTTATTTTAATAAAAGTTGGTGAATGTATTTATTTTACTGTAAATAACAAGTGAAAAAATTTTCAGCCTTATCAGTTGGACATTCCGGTTTTTATACTGCTTTTTTTTTAATTCACTAACGCTCTAAAAATGAATATTTCAGCCGCAGTAAAGAATCAACGTTGGCGGATTTTGGTTCTTGACATCCTTAACGATCGGTTACGATGCCTAGAGTACGGAGACCTGTACGATTTCGTCAACTTAGTGAGTTTGATAGGGGCCGTATAGTGGGACTTCGGGAAGCTGGACTTTCTTTTCGGGCAATTGCAGTTAGAGTGCAAAGAAGTGTAGACACTGTGGTTAGGTTTTGTCAGGCATGGCTTCGAGAAGGCCGTACGCAAAGAGCAAGGGGCATTGGACGCCGCCGTAGAACAACAGACCGTGAAGATCGCCGCCTAAGATTATTGGCCTTAAGGGACCGTTTCTCCACTACCAGGTCCATTGCAAACGAATGGTTTGCAGAACACCAAAGACCTATTGTCATGCGAAGTGTTTACCGACGAATGAGAAGTTTTGGCTTGTTTTCATACCGGCCACACTGGGTCCTCCCTTTAACTCGAGAACACCGACGTAATCGCCTTGAGTGGTGCAGACAACGGTCACTCTGGGATCAGGAATGGAACAGTATTGTCTTTAGTGACGAGTCTCGATTTTGTTTAGGCATGCACGATGGTCGTGCCAGGGTTAGAAGGCGACGTGGTGAAAGGAGGAATCCACAGTTTTTTGTTGAAAGACATGTTCATCACACTGTTGGAGTTATGGTTTGGGGTGCTATAGCTTATGGTTCCAGGTCACCTTTAATCTTCATCAGAGGTAACATGAACGCGCAGCGTTATATCCACGAAGTTCTAGAACCCCATCTTTTACCCTATCTTGACAACCTGGCAGATCCAACTTTCCAACAAGATAATGCCCGACCACATGTTGCAAGAGTCACAATAGACTTCTTTCAACATAATGATGTCACATTGTTACCATGGCCACCAAGATCTCCCGACTTATCCCCAATTGAGCACGTGTGGGATATGATGGGTAGGAGATTGCTCAATTTGCAAAGTCCTCCTCAGACTCTAGAAGCACTTCGAGAGGAGTTGGTGGTTGCCTGGAATGAGATACCACAGGAGGACATTGACCACCTGATCAGAAGCATGCCTAGGCGCGTTGGAGAATGCGTAGCACATCAGGGTGCATCCACACATTATTAAAGGTCAAAGGGCTTTAAAGCAGTGCAATCATTTTGAAATTTTTATCATTAACTTATTATGCTTCATTAAGTACAAAATTTTATTAAAATAAAACCATTTAAACTGGGTGTTCGGATTTATATGTAACTTAGTATATATACCGAGCGCAGTGAGCAAACAGTTAGTATTACAGCGCCAGCAATTCAGAAGACATTGTCACCAAAAGAAAATTAGCAACAGAGAAATACGAAACTGAGGAAATCAAAGGATTAACTACAAAAGAACTGCAACACGTCTAGTGCTATTACAGCAGTACCAAACAAGTATTTTACAACAAGAGTATTATAAAACGAAATTAAAAATGATGCAGCGTCAGAAGCCACCTGTAACTTATGATATTCACGAAAATAAAACTTATTATAACTTATAAAGACACTTTAATCGGTAAAACTATTTATTATAATACTCAGGTTTCTTCTTATTTGTTGACCTAGTTGGCGGAGAGGAAGTTCGTCATTCTCATGATTTCCTTCGTCTTCATCTGGGTCTTCTTCAACTAACTCAAAGTCAGGATCGCCCAAGCTCTTCGCAACATTATGGAGCACAATATAAGAAATAATTATTTTCGGTACATCTTCCAACTTTACGCGGCAAACATACTGTATTATATGAAACCGGCGTTTCAGCTGGCCGAAACAGCGTTCAATTATAACTCTTTCTTGTTTTAAAAGCTTATTATAATTTATTTCTGTACCTGGAGTAGGATTGCTGAAGGCATGGCTCAATACCATAAACGTCATCGCCAAGTAGTACAACATTTGCTTTATTTATTAGTTGTGATCTAGTCTGTGAATTTCTCCATATTCTGGAATCATGCACTGATCTAGGACAACTGACATCAACACTTGTGAATATCTCTCTGGCATCACAAGTGGCTTGCACATTTAAAGTAGCTTTCCCTTTTCGGTTGATATACTCTCTATGGCGATTTGGTTTTAGGATTAGTATATGTGTAGAATCAGTTACACCAATTGCTGTCGGAAATTTATACATGCTTTGCCATATCCGCTTGGCCTCCATCAGTTCATGATTGGTAGTTGGAAACTTGATCCATTCGTTCGACTGTGCAACTATGCTGTTCACAACTCTGTTCACAGTCCGAGATACCGTTGCCTGACTAACACCAAGTTCCTGACCAATACCTTGTTGATATCCAGAGTCACCGAGATAGCGTACACATACCTTCATTTTATCAATACATCAAAGTGCTCCTTCTCGAGTTTCGTCATTCTCAACTAAAAATCTGTCCGCAAGCCATTGTACATTTGGTTCGTCGAACCGATCTAATTTTTTGAAGTCACGACCAAGTGAAGGTAAACGAGATTTGTACGTTTTAACATCCCTAACATCCACAATTTCCGCCATCATCGTTTGACCACCTTTCGTTACGAAGTTGAGTCTGCTACTGACCACACTCAGAATTTTTGAGGATATGCTTCCTACGCCAAGTATAAGGTGAAGATTATGAATATCCTTTTACTTATGTCACTGCTTTGGAGGATATATACTCAAAAAGCAAAAGCATTTACTTCAAATTATTATAAATATCGTCTGGAGGATTTCCTTTAAAATTTACAAGTACAAGGTTATCCTTTGTTTTATGAATACGGCTCATTGACACGCCTGGGCATCGAGCTGATAAGGTGGTCAATATCCTGGGGTATCTCATTCCAGGCTACTGCAACTTCATGAGTAAGAGCTGCAAAAGTCTGTGGAACGTATTGCAAATTCAAGAGCCTGCGACCTATCATGTCCCAGACATGTTCAATTGGAGATGTTGATCCATGACGGCTAACGATGCTTTGACAACATGCCACTGACACCCGGTGAATTCTACACACCCTCGGCATTTTGAGCAATCACAAACGGGCTTCTCAATGGCCTACACGAAATTTAACATTTAACTGACACTGTAAATGTACGAAAACTGAATGCTTCTTTATCACCAAACAATACACGCAGCCACCACAAAAACTTAACAGAAGAACCTGACCAGTTTATCCCTTGTTGTTCATGACAACATAAATCGATATGCAAAAAATTCTTGAATTCCAATAAGCATACGTATGTAGGTGTTTACCTTTTTTTGTCACTCAGTATAGTTATTATCAACTGTGCCGTTCTGACATTACCCTACCTGTATATCAATGCATGTACAAATTAGGCCATATGTGACGGAGAGAGTTCACATACTAAACTAGTTACTATCTAAATTATTTTCTGAGTAGGTACTTCTGAAATATTTTAAATATCATAAAGCTACTTCTTACGTCATTATCCGTCAGAGCGGTCCGATGGACCTTTGCTCTTAGTTAAAAGTCTCGTCGGTCTGTTAGTCTGCCAGGTCTGGCTACCCAGATACCAAACAGGGGAAAATAGAAAGAAGGAAAGAAAGGAAGGACTGATAATATACTAATAGATCATTTTGACTGATCACAAGGCTTTGTTAACGACTTGAAATATCATTATATACTAAGTGACATATAAATCCGAACACCCAGTTTAAATGGTTTTATTTTAATAAAATTTTGTATAAGTACTTAATGAAGCATAATAAGTAAATGATAAAAATTTCAAAATGATTGCACTGCTTTAAAGCCCTTTGACCTTTAATAATGTGTGGGTGCACCTTGATGTGCTACGCATTCTCCAACGCGCCTAGGCATGCTTCTGATCAGGTGGTCAATGTCCTCCTGTGGTATCTCAATCCAGGCAACCACCAACTCCTCTCGAAGTGCTTCTAGAGTCTGAGGAGGACGTTGCAAATTGAGCAATCTCCTACCCATCATATCCCACACGTGCTCAATTGAGGATAAGTCGGCAGATCTTGGTGGCCATGGTAACAATGTGACATCATTATGTTGAAAGAAGTCTATTGTGACTCTTGCAACATGTGGTCGGGCATTATCTTGTTGGAAAGTTGGATCTGCCAGGGTGTGAAGATAGGGTAAAAGATGGGGTTCTAGCTGCGCGTTCATGTTACCTCTGATGAAGATTAAAGGTGACCTGGAACCATAAGCTATAGCACCTCAAACCATAACTCCAACAGTGTGATGAACATGTCTTTCGACAAAAAACTGTGGATTCCTCCTTATCCCACGTCGCCTTCTAACCCTGGCACGACCATCGTGCATGCCTAAACAAAATCGATACTCGTCACTAAAGACAATACTGTTCCATTCCTGATCCCAGAGTGACCGTTGTCTGCACCACTCAAGGCGATTACGTCGGTGTTCTCGAGTTAAAGGGAGGACCCAGTGTGGCCGGTATGAAAACAAGCCAAAACTTCTCATTCGTCGGTAAACACTTCGCATGCCAATAGGTCTTCCGTGTTCTGCAAACTATTCATTTGCAATGGACCTGGTAGTGGAGAAACGGTCCCTTAAGGCCAATAGTCTTAGGCAGCTATCTTCACGGTCTGTTGTTCTACGGCGGCGTCCAGTGCCCCTTGCTCTTTGCGTACGGGCTTCTCGAAGCCATGCCTGACAACACCTAACCAGTGTCTACACTTCTTTGCACTCTAACTGCAATTGCCCGAAAAGAAAGTCCAGCTTCCCGAAGTCCCACTATACGGCCCCTATCAAACTCACTAAGTTGACGAAATCGTACAGGTCTCCGTACTCTAGGCATCGTAACCGATCGTAAAGGATGTCAAGAACCAAAATCCGCCAACGTTGATTCTTTACTGCGGCTAAAATATTCATTTTTAGAGCGTTAGTGAATTAAAAAGCAGTATAAAAACAGGAATGTCCAACTGATAGGGCTGAAAATTTTTTCACTTGTTATTTACAGTAAGATAAATACATTCACCAACTTTTATTAAAATAAAACCATTTAAACTGGGTGTTCGGATTTATATGTCACTTAGTATACTAAACTACATACATTCCATGTAAGTGTGGAGGGTCTGATTGACTTTGGTCACAAAAAGAATTTTTACATTTTTAGACATCCTCTATGGTGCTCAAATACAAACAGTGCTTAAAATTAAAACTTGAGGTAATGAAATTGATGCGTGGATACCATATTTTAGAATAAAATTGACAGATGAAAATGTCATGATGGCTGCTGAGCGCTTTCTTGAAAAAAAAACGGGGTCTTGTGGCATATCATTTTGAAGCACCTGACGGGTTCTTGATAACCCTAGAATATAAAGGCAATACCTTTACCTACTACAAAACGGTGGTAGATTTAATAATTACCTGAATACATTGACATTTAACTTGATAATTCGAGTAAATACGTTGAGTTTAGTTTAGAAGATGCTGGAAATGGTTGCCTTGAGCTTCTTGACATAATAACAGCTGGTCCGTAATTTGTTATTCTCAGCTGTATGTGCACTATTGAAGCAGGTTCAGATTCGTACACCTGTTGCTTAAAATAGCCCCATGAAAAAAAGTCTAAAGGTGTCAAATCTGGCCGGCGAGCTGGCCATTCCACAGGACCTCGATGGCCAATCCAACGACCGGGGAAATTGTTATCTAAATAATTCCTAACTTGTCTGGAGTAGTGTGGTGGAGCACCATCTTGCTGAAATACAATATCAGTATCGAAGTCATTAGGATGGATTCGCTTCGACGATTTCTGTGATTAGAGGGTATTTTCCAGCATATCCAAATACAGTTCCCCCGGTTAAAGTTTGTTCGATTAATAGAGGCCCCACAATATGATTTCCCAATATCCCAGCCCAAACGTTAATTTTTTGTCGATATTGGGTATGAGTTTCCCGGAAGACGTGAGGATTGGTGTCACTCCAATAACGACAATTTTTTCTATGTACATAACCGTTGAGAAAAAATGTACATTCATCACTAAAACAAATATTTTGGATATAGGTAGGATGCCGTGCAATGGTTTCCGTCATAGTCTCGCAGAATTCTGTTCTTCGATCAAGGTCATCTTCAGTTAGCTGATGTACCATTTGAATTCTGTATGGGTGATACTTATTCTTTTTCAAAAGTCTCCATACAGTAGAAGGACAAACCTCACATACCTACATTCGTGATGGAGGAAGTAGACTGTTGGGGATTTACTATGATCTCAATTATTTGAACTTGCCTTTCTTCAGGGATAGTAGGATGACCTGAGGACTTTTTGTTGTCTACACTACCAGTAGCTGTAAATTTAGATACAAGTCCTCTTAAATATTTTCTAGAGATAGGACGATTCGGGAAACGATCTTTAAAAATCCTTTCGATCTCGTAAAAGTTAGGCGTCGCACCATAAATAAAAATCGCTTCGATTTTTTTCCAACGGCACTAAAACCGCAAACTAAATAAGAATATTTTAATTGTACTGAGATTCTTGTCACTGTTAAGAAAAATAACAAAACAAGTTTTTATTGCTGTTTTTGTGGATACGGCAGTAAATTACAATTATTTGTAGAGATATGCATGTTAGTGATTTTGTGTTCAAGTAATTATTAAATGTACCACCATTTTGTAGTAGGTAAATTTATTGACTTTATACTCTAGGGTTATAAAGTACTCGTCAGGAGCTTCAAAATGATGAATGCCACAAGACCCCCGCATCGGTATCATGCAAAAAGCCTATAAAATGTCAACAAAATTATAAGATGTCATCTTGCAAACTAGGTAGTTTTTAGGGCGCAGTCATTCCACGTTGGCTCACTAGGATCGTTGCGAACGTCCATCTAAGGAGGAATCACTCGACTAAGCTACATGCATTATTGGTTGCATATGTTTTGTGAGGCCAAATAATGGTTCTTGACTGTAGTTTTTATCTCTGAGAAGAAAGTTGGTTGAATAGCAAGATCGCATCTGGATGATTATGTGAATTGGTCTGCATGTGTATAAAATCAGTGATATTTTCTGTGTGTACTGAATATACTGCCAATGAAGTATATCTATTGGCTGTGTCCGACGGGTTATTTTTATGTTGTGCTTTCCGAAGAGAGGTTATGTTCAAAGTTATAAATTAAGAAAAACTGAGGAGAATTACGGGAAATCGGAAATCACCGCGCCCGCGTTGTGTGTAATTAATGTAAGCATGTTGTAAGCTTGTAATTCGACAGTGTACGGTGAATATAATTATTTCTTATCTCCCTCATTTTTGAAATTCATCAAATTTGTATTTGTAATTTACAGAATGGATAAGAAAAAATTATCTTTTATTATTGCAGAGTTAATCACTATTTAGGGATTTTAGGTTTTGTTAAGCTCTTCCGAGCGGCCAAATAGACAATTTATGAAAATGAAACATTAAATACTTACAACAATATATTCTCATTAGAAGCACTCAACGAAAATCACTTGTAGACTATCCTAAATTAGAAATGTATTTGTAAAAATGACTTAAAAATGATCTTAATGGATATTATATGATATCAAATAAGTTGACAATCACCATTATAATGGAGTAAAAGAATTTAAGCTGCTCAAATGGTTCCGAACCTTGTAAGGCCAAAATGTTCCAGATGGCGTCAGAAATCTAGAATTCAGTAAATATTGAGTATGTAAAATTTAAAAACCTGTAAATCAACTTTCTCCTACAACTGATAAATAAAATAAAATGGCGTCAAGTAGGTTGACTCTGCACTTCCTACGCAACGCTGTCATCAGTTCGGCACAAGTTGGCCCCTCTGAGAAGACAAAGTAAACGACAAATATGTATAAAAAATCGGATCAAGTCAGTCAAACACACTCGTACAATTAAAATTTGCATATTTATTAATATGCTTTTTGTTATTAGCATTACTTATTTTTTAGGGATATTTTGTACTATTATTTAGTTTTCGAGAAAAAAAAAGTCCACCTAATTGCATATCCCACTCAAGGAATATGGGGAAAAGTTTGTTTTGGCAATTATCATTTTTTTATAATTTTTATATTAATATTAATTATTTAGCAACATCAAAAAACACTGAAGGCTTGCTTTGGAAAACGATTGCTGTATTTACTAAATAACTTCACAGCCACCAACTTAGTATTTATAAGCTGTTAATTTATAATTTTCACAAAAAATGTTTTTAGTGGTTATTTTTTGTCCAGTATGGTTCAATTTACCAATAGTGAAATGGCGGATATGCATTTCTGTTATGAAATGGCTCACGGAAACTCTAATGCTGCAAGACACATTTATCATGAAATATTTCCTCAGCGTGTGTGTGCCTAATAGAAGAACTTTTGTACGTCTCCATGCACGACTTTCTGAAACAGGCAGCTTTAAAAGATCGACGGTTGTCATCAGGAGGCCTCCAACGGAACAAATAGTTCAAATTGCAGACGCTGTTTTAAATGAAATTGAAGCAAATCCTTAAACAATGTCATGGAAAGATTCCGTATGTGGTACTTGCGTGACGGGGCTCCGCTACACAAAGTGTTGTGGAGCAATTTTTGGATCCAAATTACCTGGAAATTTGCTCATGTCCAACCCATCCCAAAAAAATGATCTAAGACCGACCCTTACAACTGCAGGCCTATAGCTCTGCTTTCTGTTATAAGTAAGGTGATGGAGAGGTGCATAAATCGCGAGCTTCTGGACTACCTCGAAAGTCACAGCTTGATTAGGGACAGGCAGTATGGTTTTCGGCACCAACGATCCACAGAGGACCTCCTAGCCTACATCACGCAATTGTGGAGTAAACTCATCCAGTCTTATGGTGAGGCTCTTGACATCACGAAAGGTTTCGATCAGCTGTGGCATGCTGCCCTCTTAAGCCAACTTCCATCTTATGGCCTTCCAGAAAAGCTTTGCAGATGGGTGGCTGACTTTATCTCTGGCCGCAAGATATCCGTCGTAATCGACGGGTTCTCCTCTTCCTCCCACAACGTCAACGCGGGTGTTTCTCAAGGATCGGTCTTGGCTCCAACACTGTTTCTCTTACATGTCAACGACTTCCTTTCCTGCACGATCAACCCCACCCGTTGATGACAGCATTCTACATGCAGGAATTCAGAGTGAAACGCCGATCTCTGCCGCTCAGCTGGAAACAAGAAGACTAGCGACGACTTCCTCTCTGACAAGAGACCTGGAGGCTATCACTGCTTGGGGACGCAACAATCTTGTACAGTTCAATGTTTCCAAAACACAATACTGTACTTTGAGTCCAGATCACCGAGGTCCTGATCTGACACGAACGCAGCTCGTCAATAGCAGCAGCTGCTGGGAAAAAGCTAGGCTATTTGTTTAGAGCTAAGAAGTACTTTTCTCCGCATGACCTTCTTACTCTATACAAGGCCCAGATAAGGCCTAGCCTCGAGTATTGCTCACACGTTTGGGGTGCTGCCGCCCCGACTACATTGTCCATGCTCGATGCTGTCCAGAGGAGGGCGGTCCGACTGATCGATGACTCTTCTCTAACATACAGTCTCGGGACCCTTTCGCACCGGCGGGCCGTGGGCGATCTAGCTCTTTTCTACCGCTACACCAACGGGCTTTGCTCCTCAGAGCTCTCCTCCATGATGCCGCCGCGCGATGTACCTGCCAGACAGACCCGCCTGACTTTGGCGTCCCATCCTTACCGTGTCGAACTTCGTGCATCCAGAACTGGCCGATACGACTGCTCCTTTGTCCCGAGGGTGGCGAAATTGTTGAACAATCTACAAGAGCTTTTCCCAGTTCTACTAACCTTAGGCAGTTCAAAAATCGTATTAACAAAATTTGTTTGGGATCATCATAGCAGCCGCGGTGTTCTGGCATTTAGGCTTCCCACACCTATGGCCCCGTCGGTCGCTCGATATGAATCCCTTAGATTATTTTCTCTGGGGACACCTCAAGGCATTGGTATACAAAACTCCTATTGAAAGTGAAGAGGATTTATCCAATAGAATCATTAATTCATATGAGATAAAATACTCCAGGTATTGAACCCGCAGTGGACCATTTCCAATGTTATTTAGTATTTGTTGTTTTTGCTATATAAGTAGTAATAAAAAATTATAAAAACTGATAGTTTATAAAAGAAACTTTTCCCATATTCCTTGTGTGGTCCAGATATATGCAATTAGGTGGGTTCTCTTTTTCTCGAAAACTGAGCAAGGTACGAACAAAAATTCAGGAGACAAAAAAGCTGTACTTCTATTTGCTTGATCCAAAATTGCACAAAAGTCAGTGACGTAAGTTTTTTGTCACAAGTATTTGTTCATATTCCGCTTGCGACGCCACTGGACTTGATAAATTAAATCAAATTAGGGTAAGATTAGCTCCTTAATTTTATAAAAACTACCGCCAAATTACGAAAAAATTAACCTTGTATCTTGAGAACAAAGAATTTGCGGACCTATGCTTATAGGAACTTTTTGTCTTAAAATTAATAAAAGAATTGTCTGTTGAATTTATGATACATATTTACTTAACACCCTGTATAATTGTGTTCGCATACTCTGTGTAACTATAATGGTAATAGAATAGCGGTAATATTTGTATTAATTCTCTTTTCTATTAGAGCATGATATTGGAAATAAGGATGTGGCCAGTTGCTCATCGATCAGAGCCAATCACAGGACAGAGAAAAAAGAAATTGGCCATCGCCGTGACAATAACTACGACTTTTTGATAATTGGTCTTACAAATGGACTTCCACCATAATATGTAATTTTGTATATGACGATTCATATTTTTCTTTTAGTTTATTCTCCGGTCGCCAATACTTTCTTGCACAAAGTCAAATATCACTCAGAGATGCATGATGCAGATCTGGCAAAGCAATACTTTCCACATTTAAAGGAGAATGAGTTAGTATTACCTGTGTAAGTATTTCTGACTTAAATTGTCAGTGGTGTGAACATAATCACATTTCACCACCTAATGGACTAACATTGTGATTGGCCAAAAAGTGACTATAAAATGAACTTTGTCATACTTCTAGTGACAGTAAAACAATGATTCTTACCATTTACGAAATAGTGGAATATGTGCCGCTGTTAGATTCTAGTAATATGGGCTGCAAGGAATGGATCAGAATTGCAAAGGACATTGAGGTAATGAACTAATAAGTAGAGGATATTGCCCTAAACTGGACCTCTTTCTTAAAGCATGTCCCTGGTTTTACCGGCTGCGTGTTAACTGATATTTTAGTACTGCCAAGTGTAATAGGCACTTAGGAATCTCTTAAGCAGCGTTCTCACGAGTCGATTTTAGTTGATCAACGTAAGTTGATCAACTTAAATCGAAACGAATATTTGTTCACACACATAATAAAAATTGATGCGCTAGTTGTTTCTGAAATGGCTGCCAACGAAGTTGTCCAAGCAGGCATAGCAGCTATTTACGAATTATTAAACGAAGAAATCAGAGATATTTTGTCAAAATTTGACAGAAAATCTAGAAAACGTCGGTTTTGGGTCAGGACATGGATATTGCGAACGAATAAACTGGGCGTTTCAGGAACTCTGCTCAAAGAGCTGGCTTTAGAGGACAAGGATGCCTACAGAAATCATTTGAGATTGTCCAAAGAACAATTTCAAGGACTTCTTCTTAAGATAAAAAACAAAATACAAAAATAAGATACCATGAGAAGATCTACTTTCTCCATTTATTTTGCGATGATAGTTAAAGCGTTGTTCCGAGCATCCTTGCTTCGATAACTCTCGAGCAGGGTATTCCATAAACAGTCATGCTGTTGATATGAATCCAAAAATGTAGCACAATACTTTCAGACCACTTCATGCTCATTTTTGTCTTCTTTTTTCACACACAACAAACACACAAGCCACAAAATCAACTTTATTCAATGCGAAACTCGACTGACTACAGTTCACACGCTTCAAATCCGTTTCAACTTGTCTGAAAATCGCCTATGACGCATTAAATTAATCGATAAGTTTTGAATGGATCAAACTTTTTCGGTTCAACTAAAATTGATCAACTAAAATCGAAAACACGGTTCACAAGTATATTTTTATTCGATTTTTGTTGATCAATAAAAATCATTCTACTACAATCGACTCGTGAGAACGCTGCTTTAGTGATGAAACGAATTTCAATGTTTAGGCATCCGGGATCGTAAATGAGAATGCGAATATATGTGAAGGAGAAAAAGCTGCGAGGCTTTTAATTTTGATGTTCAATATTTCTCTAGTTCTTCTTTATTAGCAAATTGTTACTTAAGAAATAAAGAAAAAAGTCTTGGGTCGTTAAAAAACATATCTTTTCCACAAGTTTAAAAAACACTCGACGTTTATATTTTTCAAGTAAAATGTTTTTAATCAAAGATTAGTAAAGGTGAAAGTGGATATCTTTTTGTTTGTTTGAATTTGTTACTTCATAATTGCGTTTCCTAATGAGAAATATTTGATTATTATAATACTAAAGAAAAAAGTGTATTTGTAAAGTTTTTGTTTGTCTATTATAATGCTTTTCTGATAAAAAAATTAACTGATCTTTTTTTGTTTTATCAACGTATCTAATAAATACTATTTTCATACTACCCTCTTCTGATATTTATATGTGTATGAATTTTACGAATGCGAATGCGAATGCGAATATCAAAAGATATGCATACTCGTAAACGCGTATACCCAATTAATTCAAATAGATTAGACGGAGCCAAGTTTACATTGCATTGTTGGTCCCCAAAATTATGTAGTTTCAGTGCATACTTTTGGCTAGTTTGTCTACCGATGCCTACCAAAGTGACAAACCAATACATTTTCAACTGAAATTTATGAACGCATGAGGTATATATATTATATCATCAGAAATCGAATGCTGTGTGCTTTTAGAACATACGTTTCTACTTTTTGTATCATCCATAGTCTTTTAATCACTAAAAGATGGGGTCCGGCTTCGGGCACTTTTCTCTGTTATTGTATACAAAATGACATATTGAACACTCAGTAATAGCGAATACTTATAAAAGGAAGTAAGTGCACATAAAGCCAGAATTATGTTGGTCCATTTTGGAGACAATAAAGTCGAGTTGTTGTCTTGGCCTCCTAGATCTCCCGATCCTTCATCCAATGACAAGCAAGCATATTACTTAGTGTACCCCAACCTCCACAGACTCAAGTGCACTTCAGCACGAGGTACACGTATCTAGTTAGGCGTGTTTCTGATTGTTATTATAAATTAACTATTTGCATATTTTTCAGAGGTTCAATTTTTCTTAAATTTTTACCTACATGACTCTAAAAGACATGTATGCGAAAAATTGCTGTAATAAATTTATTATTACCGAGTGTTCGTTTTTATATGTCAGTATACATGTTGTTGAAATTTACTGTCTTCTTTATATTCAGCGTTATTATGAAAGCTACGATGGATTTATTATATTGCACGGGACAGACACATTGGCGTTCACAGCGTCGGCACTTTCGTTTATGCTAGAAGGTCTACGTAAGCCAGTCATAGTTACAGGATCACAAGTAAGTAAAAAAAAACACTAGGGTTGGCTTAAGCCAAGTCGAATAAACCTATGCTTCAATTGGAAATATATGTCAATTTTCGTTAACAGAGCAATACAAATTTGATCAAGTATAGCATTCACTGATTCAAATACTTGAGGAAGTAGATCCTTTTAGTAGCACGAAAACACTTAATTTTAAAGATGCCTTCAGGGCAACGCAGACATCAGATTTTGATATAAACCATAGTCGGCTACCAAATAGGAAGAGAGTTGCAAAACACATTGTATATCACTACTGCCTGCTAACGCGGCAAGCCTTTAAATACGGTGAGAATCGTGCGCATCGATACAAAGAACCCAAGCGTTAGCAGTGGCGTACGATATGTTATGATACTCTCTTCCATTTTGGAACCGAGAATGAATCTGTATTTGAACCATAGGCACAGACCATACATATGCGACATCCACTGTTGGTCCCTTTGATTTTCGCGCCCCCAACTTGGCGTATTCCCTACCTGATTCCATGGGTGTCCGGACAATTTTTTTCATTCGCAGGTGGTTACGCTTCATTAGACTGATGCCACGAATGTTATACGTCGAACTACAGAAACAAAATGAAATGCGAAAGGCTTTCGCGACCATAATCCAATGTTATTTGGTTGGTTTTTGGGTATTTGGGCCGTCGTAAAATATTTTTATTTGACGTTTCGCCAACGCGAGTGGTGGCATCTTCAGAAGGTGTTCACAGTTCGGAGTCCTATGAGCTACAGTAGCTATAGTAGTATACTAAATGAATTCATTCTCCCCAAAAGTTAAATACGGAACATACATTACTATGAACAGATATTCAAATCAAAATACTTCCCGCATACCACTACTTCTCCACAATCACAGCAAACAAGTAAATAATCTTTTTCGCCGCTACTGGTTCTAATCTAAAACCATCAAGCACATGACAACTCGTGTGGTAGCGTAACGAAACATGCTTCCAACGTTGTAACGTCCTTTGACGCAGATCAAATTTACCGGCAAGAGCCCGAACGTGCCATGTGGCGAACGTTGGACACATCCGTCAGCGCTCTCGAACATGATGTCGCGAATGGCCATGTGTCCAACCTTGTAAGCCATTCGCCACATCGTGTGGGAGCGGTTTAAGTGTTTCGCAGAGGTCGTTTCTAATGGTAGATCGCGATTCGAGCAGTCTTATTAAGTTATAAAGAGTAGCAGTTTTATCATACCTTTATCTATATAAAGGCTCGACTATCTAGGCAGCAGCGGTGGCCGCAGTAGTAGACTCTTCGGTCTCCTGATCAGTCGCCGTGCGCTGTGCGGGTTCGAGTCCCGTCCCAGGAGAAATTTTTCTCTTGGCTATGGATGTTGTGATTGTCCGTAGGTGGTAGACGGTCTCTGACTGTCGAACGCGGAGCTACCACCCGGCGGATCTCGTAGGCGGAGCCAGAATGTGTGCATGTTGCATGCACACGTGTTCCCTCGCCAGAGTCCGTGTGGCGTTCCCCCTTTCCCATGTATCCCCCTATAGCCCCACGGTACGAAATGGGTGCTTAGGCCTTAGACCTTCGTGGTAGTTGAAGTATAAAAAAAATACAGAGAATAAAAGCAGAATACGAGTAGTTGGAAGACTACTGTTTTTTTGCTTTGATAAATTAATTTACTGATGCTTTTACGTTTGGGAAATGAATTAATATGAAATATTTGACAAAAATAGAAAAAATAACTATTGTGATCAATGACACATTTTGTAATTGTAACCATAAAAGATGTATTGGCGTCAAAATTTAATCAAACACAGTAGATGAACTTTTTTTCTCAATTCTGATTCAATTTATGTTCCATAGACAGACAATACTGTATAGGAATTGTCGATACAATATATCCTAAGACTAAAAAATACTTATCCGCCTTTTACCCACGTACGGCAGCATTGGTTTATTTTGGTATCACTGGCGTATTATACAAGGTGTTCCATAATGATATGCGAATATTTAAGGGTGTGAATCTACATGAAAAATTACTGTTTGTTTGCTTTATAAACTATGGTCCAAAAATGTTTTCTTACAACAACTCGGGGTGTTGAAGTTTTAGAAAAAAAAAATGGAAATTAATTAATATTTTCAGAACCGCTACAGATATTTCACTGATATTTAGTACATAGTGAAAGTTAATAATGTTGCATAGTTTTCAATGCATAAATAATTTCTAGCTTTTACAGTGACGTGCGTACGGGTATTGACTTCGATATTTTTTAAGGAAAAAATAGTACGCCAATGATTTTTTGCCAAATAAAAATTATTATTGAATTCCCCGTTCAATTTAAAACAAATGAATTGAATTGTTTTCTTTCGATGCGCCATTTTTGAGTAAAAAAATAAAAACCGTCCTATTGTCTAACTTGCAAAATTATTATCAATCTAATTGGAAAAATTAAACACATTAGGGGTAATAAACAACAACAGCTGACAACATAAACATAACATTAAAACCAACGAAATGATTAAAAAAAATGTTGAAAATGGCCCCCTTCACAGTATGCATGCTTCCGCCCTCCTTCTCATGGAATTGCGCACTAGTTGAAATATCCCTGGAGTGTTTTTTATTCTATCACAAGCTGCAACTATTAATTCTCTTAATTCCTCTCAAGTGTTAATGGGACTTGTATACACTAAGATAGCCCCACAAAAAGAAATTTAAGCTGTTGAGGTCTGGGGACCTTGGTGGCCATTCTTGGGGCCCACCGCGGCCAATCCAATGATTTGAATAATAAATAATAATATTACGAACCGCTACACTGAAATGCGCTGGTGCACCATCATGCATGTACCACATATTGTTTCTTATTACTAACTGAACATCATCAAGCAGCAAAGGCAACTGTTGTTGAAGAAAATTGAGGTAAGTCTGTCCGTCAAGTCGTCCCGGTAAGAAGAATGGGCCAATAAAGCGGTTGCCAATAATTCCTGCCCATACGTTAACTGAAAATTGGTGTTGGAAATGGGTTTCGGTTACGGCATAGGGATTTTCTTTTGCCCACAAATGATTATTGTGGAAATTCTGAATGGCATTTCGAGAAAAATTAGCTTCGTCCGTGAACAGAATCATTGATTCAAATTTCGGATTTTGTGTAATTTTTTGAAAATTCCACCGACAAAAGGTCACACGCCTTGGAAAATCAATGGGAAGTAATGCCTGTAATCTTAAAATATGGTAAGGATAAAAGAAAAAAATCCACTAAAATTCTCCAAACAATTTGATGGCAAATATTTAAGTGTCTAGCGATCTTCCTCGTACTCGTTTCAGGATGTTCTTCGACTTCGTGCAGCACTGCTTCGTCAATTTCAGGTGTTTTCACCTCTAAGTGTTTTCACCTCTAAGTGTCTCCCTTCAGATGTTCCTTTTCGGACAGAACCAGTTTCAACAAGACGACGATGAATATTAGAAAAGGTTCGACTATCTGGCAAAGCACGATCGGGTTATCTCTGGTAATAAATCCGTCTGGCTTGCTCACCATTACCGTCGGCAAGGCCATATACGTAATGCATTTCCGCCATTTCTGCATTTGAATAATTCCCCCATATTAACAAGATTGTAAAAACTAAATAATGAAAAAGATGTTACAGCCAACAGATTTGAATAACAGTTACATGTCAGATGTCAAAAGCCAGTGACATATTCCAGCGCAACTAGATATTTATTGCTAAATTGCATTCTTCAATTGTTACATTAATTTTCTCGGACAATAGAACGGTTTTTATTTTTTTACAAAAATGGCGCATCGAAGAAAAACAACTCAAGAGAGATCATTTGCTTTAAATTGAACTAGAATTTCCAAAATAATTTTTATTGAGCAAAAAACCATTAGCGTACTATTTTTTCCTTGAAAAATATCGAAGTCAATACCCGGACGCACGCCACTGTTAGAGCTAAACATTAGTTTTGCACAGAAAAATATGCAAATTTATTAACTTTCACTACGTACTAAATATCAGTGAAATATCTGAAGCAGTTCTCAAGATATTAGTTAATTTCCATTTTTTTCCTAAAACTTCAACACCCCGAGTTTTTGTAAGGAAATATTTTTGCACCATAGTTTATAACGCAAACTAACATTAATTTTTCATGTAGATTCACACCCTTAAATATTCGCATATCATTAAGGAACACCGTGTATACCTTTGACAGACATTCGCTCATTACAGATTCCCATTTTTGAAACTAGGAGCGACGCTAAAGATAATTTTCTATCGTCACTAATACTAGCGAGCTATGGAAGAGTGCCAGAAGTATGCGTATTTTTTGCCAGCAAGTTATATAGAGGCAATAGGGTTACCAAAATGAGTTCTGATGAATTGGAGGCTTTTGGTTCACCGAATTATAATACCTTGGCAGATGTTGGAATCGACGTTAAATGTAGGTATACCTTTTTGGACTGAACATAGTCAGGTGAAAGTGCGACACAGTCTTACGTTTCTGGTCAAAGTAAGAACCCAATTAGCAAAGTAGTGCTATAAGCTTTTGGTAAAAGAACCGTTCAGCCATAAAATATCTCTATTGTTGTTTTTTTTTTATATCGAAACAGCCGCGCAGGCAGAAGCCTAAATGCCGGAACACCGCGGCTGCTCTGATGATCCCAAAGAAATTTTGTTAATACGATTTTTGAACTGCCTAAGGTTAGTAGAACTGGGAAAAGCTTCCTCCCGTAGATTGTTCCACAATCTAGACACCCTCGGGACAAAGGCCTGAAGACCAAAATGCTGCCTTAATGTTGTGTGGAATGCAAATTTGCTTTCTGCAACATATTTGCTCTAAAATAACGTGTTTAAAATATTCTTATAGCATAGTTATACAAAACCTTATTGGACACATTTTTAACTGTTGCATAAACGTTTATACAACTATTTTATACGGCATATTTGCACGTTAGTCAAAATGGTTGTGTAGTGGTATCCATGGTAACGTTTATAAAACAAACCCGAGCTTTGTTGTTTAGCTGTGCAAATTTACTACTTTAGCCAACAAATTGCTGCCAATGGAAGCACTTATACAACTGTTGTTTAGTAACTGTTAAAGGCTGTACATATGCAACAATATTACAACTTTTGTAGTACAAAATTGCTGTTATCGGCATACATTTGTTGCTAAATATGTTGGTATACAACTTCACCATAACCTAACCTTCTGCTATCATATTTTTGTTAAAATGCCATAACCAATGTCTTAAGTCAAACAACGCATGCATATTGGTTCAAAAGGCTTTATCAACTGTTCAAACAGAAGATATAGATCTGGTACAAATTCTGGGTAAATCATTCGACTCTGTCGGTATTTCATTTCAGACATTTGTCAAATTGTTGTACAACACCTGCAGGCAACACAAAATATTCTAATAAACTAAAGACAACATGGACGATGCCATGATTATACACTACCACCCGCCATATTGGGCAAACACTTATTCCTCTATTTAATATTAAATAATTATGTTTCAGTTCGAAATTACAGATATAAAGTGATAAACATTAGTGTAATTGTGTCTAAATATAGGATTTGTGGAAGATTTAACACAGATAAGTTCAGTTTTCCATCTTAAAAATCTAGACATGCTTTTGATCATTAATAAAATATGAATCAAATACGAAGCCCGTAGAAATTGCATAACTACTTTGCTCAATAATCACAATAAAATTTGTTGCGCAAGTAATTCAATAGCCCTATATCACACTGTAGAAGTTTATCATATACCTGTGTATGAAATTCACAATGGCCGATGTGTAGGTAAACAAGATGACTGTAATTTGTTAGTTGTATATTCTTCACTTCGTCTATAGAAGACATAAGAAATAGTTTGGTTGCAATAAAGTAGAATCACGTAACAGAATAGTTGTATAGTTGACAAAACTGAATCTTGCACTGACGCAAATGTTCTACAGCGGCTGCAGAAGGCTTACACTTTTGTTGTATAACTGTTACCTGCACCCTTATACAACCTCTTAAATGACTGAAGTGTCCTATTAGGTGTGCCCATTCCGTTTGTATAGCTGTTCTAAGAGGGTTTTTCCAATGTTCTTACAGTATACAAAATGCTGTGTAAGGAATACTGTATAATCATTCTTGCAACTCTAATAGGAGTGATAATTGTTAGTTGGGAAGTTACTGAATCAAAGTCAAATGAAACGTAGCGACGACATTGCTATACCGCCCAACGTTTAATTCTTCCAGTATCTATACTCAACTGAACGATGCAACATTTATGCAAGAAACAAATTTCGATTTTCGTCGTACTAAAGGTTAATTTAAGTTCATTTTTCATATATGGTTTGACCGAGCTTCGTTGATGTCTTCTAGATTTGACTAAATGAGACGTGAAAGTTCAGAATGCAATAGCAAAAGAAATATTTATTCACTTTCTAATGTTCTGTTCTGTTTCAGTTAACGACCATTACATAAGGCAAGTTTCACCCACAAGGTATTTCGCACCAATCATAGATCTGAATCCGAATGTGGGGATTCTGGCATTTTTCCCGACAATGACCTGTAATATGGTAAATGATCATTGTGTACGTCATAATAGCTAATGAAACTTTATAATTGCGAGACAGCTGTTAAGGTATTTGGTGCCATGTAAAGGTATGCATCCACGAGTCCACACTGCACGCGCCAGACTACTCGCACTAAAGGCGTTCTAAAATGTCACTGCTGGCGCAAAATCTGACGATCTCTATCTACCAATGGTGCGGTGGATATCGCCATCTTTTTTGCCTTCCTCCGCATAGTATTTTGAGTCTTCAAACGATCATGCCTAGTTGTATGCTTTCCATGCATCTCTCTCCAGGACTACTAGACCAATACCGCACTGATAACACTGATCAACAGCCAAAAAATAACCTAAATAAAACCAACAAAATATTACTATTTTTAATGTGCTAAAACCGGAATGAAACTTATTTTTTCATTATTAGTTCAAGTTTTACAGATACGGTAATTATATGTGTTCCTGCTGTGACAGTGTTAATATACTGTAATTCACAAGAATGCACGTGCTACATTTTTATATTCGGCAAGGAAAGATGATGTAATCGGCATGATTGTGTTACGTTATACATACGTGTACATTATATTGTTTTATATTAGCCATTTTTTCCTCAGTTGGCTGACAGCGTTCATGCAAGATATCTCGAAAGTGTGTAAACAATCCAGATCAGTTTTGTTACATGTGTGGTGATGTGACTTTTGCGTCTCAGAGACGGTCTATTACTCCACTAATAAAAAAGGCATATCAGCTTTATTTCGGTTGTAAACTAGGTGATCAAGACAAACAGTGGGCACCCCACATCTGCTGTAATACATGTGCTTCAAGTCTGAGGAGCTGGTTAAATGGCAAAAAACGGTCTATGCGCTTTGCTGTCCCAATGGTTTGGAGAGAGCCTACAAATCATATTAATGATTGTTACTTTTGCATGGTACCTTGTGTTGGATAAGCCACAGGTATGTCCAAGAAAAAAAAATCGGTTATTAACTACCCAAACATACCATCTGCGATGAGACCTGTGCCTCACAGTGACGAAAATCCTATTCCAAAACCCCCAGAATCCTATACTTGCGAATCAGAAAACGAATCAGATCATGGCGATCGAGTGATTCGTCAGGAAGAAGATATGCCATCAACGTCAAGAGATCCTGATTTTATACCGAGCACGTCATGCCACCAACCGTACAAAATAACACAGTCAGAATTAAATGATCTTGTAAGACATTTAGAACTTCCAAAATGTAAGGCAGAGTTACTTGGATCAAGACTGCAGCAGTGGAACTTGTTAGAAGACGATGTTTCGGTATGTGTTTTTCGTAAACGTCACAAGGACTTAGAACCATTTTTGAATATGGAGAATAACTTGGTTTTCTGCAGTAACAATAACGGCTTACTGGCGGCTTTAAATATAAACTATAACCCAGAAGAATGGAGATTGTTTATAGACAGTTCAACATTGAGTTTAAAGGCAGTGTTATTGCATATTGGAAAATGAAAGAATCATATGACAATATGAAGTTTCTATTGACATGCATAAAATACGATGAGCACCAATGGCATATTTGTGGCGATTTGAAAGTTGTTGCACTTTTACTTGGGCTGCAGCTAGGCTACACAAAGTTTTGCTGTTTTTTGTGTGAATGGGACAGTCGGGCAAAGGCACTTCATTACACCAGACAAAACTGGCCTGTTCGTCAGTTCCTAGAGCCAGGTCAAAAAAATGTACCGCATATGCCATTAGTAGATTCGAAAAAAAAATTTATTACCACCACTGCATATCAAGTTGGGCCTAGTGAAAAACTTTGTCAAGGCATTAGATAGAGATGGGTCAGCTTTTCAATACCTGCGTCAGAAATTTCTAAGACTAAGTGAGGCAAAGGTTAAAGAAGGTATTTTTGTTGGGCCACAGATTCGAAATATTTTGAGAGATACACAGTTTGAAAACACTTTAACAGGTATTGAAAAAACTGCTTGGAATGATTTCCGTCTAGTGGTCACTAATTTCTTGGGAAATAGAAAAGCTGGCAACTATAAAACCCTTGTCAAAAATATGCTGTCATCGTATCAAAAGATGGGCTGTAATATGTCTCTTAAGATAAATTTCCTACACTCACACCTGGACTTTTTTCCTGACAATTGCGGAGCCGTAAGTGATGAGCACGGCGAACGTTTTCATCAGGATATTTCAACAATGGAAAAATGGTACCAGGGTAAGTGGAATCCTTCCATGCTTGCAGACTACTCTTGGACTCTTGGTAGAGATGCTCCAGAAACGATCCATAAAAGAACAGCAAAAAGACAGCGCATATAGTGATTCTTATAAGTATATGAGTCTTGTTACCTTTTTTAATATATCCTTAAAAATAAAAAGTTTTTTTTCTAATCCGCAACTAATTTTTTTATTTCATTGTCATTTTTGGATTCAGCACCCCAAAATTAACAAAGAAGTGCACTTTTCCCACAAGATACAATTAAAAAACTAAAATTTGTTGTCCAGTGTAATAATAATAATAATAATAATAATAATAATCGTAATAATGGTTTGTGTTCAATTGACAAATATATATAGCATTCGTCATAAAAGTGTATACACTATGAACACTCACACAGACGTATATACAGGGTGGCGTATCGAAAACGAAACAGACGCATCTACTGGCAACTCAGTTTTTTTTTAAAAACGCTCAGACCCGTCGATTTTGTTTTCGAGGGGGACACAAGTTTGGCAAAAAATCACGTTAGCACGTGCATCCCCCTAAGCAAAATCTTAAATGGAAAGGGGGGTCGAGTGTTACCTTATTTTAAACGTCTTTCAATACCCTTTATAATGATATAAAATTAATGTACTTCAGTTCAGTAGTTTTGAAGATTTATTGATCTAAATCTTAAATAAAACCAATACATCATCATTAGTGGAGATCAATACATTTGGCAGCAAAGGAATTTAAAAATGAAGAATGAACTGACCCGTTAGGCAAGTAAATGTTGAAAATGGCCACCATGACTCTCCATGCAATAATGCTCAAAACGTTGCCGCACGTTTTGCAATATTTGAGGAGTAATTTGAAGGCACTCATTCACAATTCTTTGTCGCAGGTCTTCTAATGATGTTGGCGGAGTAGCATCGATTTTGCTTTTTAAATGACCCCACGTAAAGAAATCCAAAGGTGATAAATCTGGCGATCTTGGGGGACATTCAATGGCACCTCTTCTACCAATCCATCGATCTGGAAACGTCTGATCTAAATATTGTCGAACACGTAATGTGTAATGTGGTGAGGCACCATCCTGTTGGAACATCAACCTATTCGCAATGTACCGCCGATCATTCTGATTTTCAATTATGGCTGTTAATGCAGGATCTATGCCGTCTTCCAGTAATTCCAAATACATTTCACCGGTTAAATTTCCAGGTAAGAAAAAAGGACCAACTAAATGATCGCCAAAAGTACCAGCCCAAACATTTAATTTTTGTGGCTGCTGTGTATGAACCTCGTGATAAATTCTGGGATTAGAATCGAACCAACATCGGCAGTTATGACGATTTACTACGCCTTTTAAGAAAAAGGAACATTCGTCGGAAAAGCAAGTGTTGAATAGAAAATGTTCATCGTTTATAATTCGTTCACTCATATCTTCACAAAATTGTAATCGCCGATCAAAATCGTCTCCATTAAGTTCTTGTACCAGGTGAATTTTATACGAATGAAAACTATGGGCCTTTAGAATCCGATGGACACTACGTCGACTAACACCACACGCAGTCTCCAATTTGCGGGTACTTAACGTAGGATCTACATAAACTTGCCCTAAAACCCCCACTTCTATCGCTTCGTTCCTTATGGGATTTTCAATGTTGCGGTTTTTATTGGCGACTGACCCAGTTTCCCGAAATTTAGCTACAAGTTCTAGAACATATTTTCGATGCACGTTACTGTTCTAATGTCGCTCATTAAGTATTTCTGCTGTTCTATTAGCGCACTGATTATTTCCGAAAAATATTTCGATAATTTCAACTCTTTCTGCTGTGGAATATACCATGGTTAATTTATGTAATAAAGGGTTACAAGTTATTTTAGCAACAAAGTTTGGTCAAATCAATCGCAAACTATGTACTATTTAAAATAAGTACGAGATATTTCCTTATATTTCTTCAAGAAATAACTTTTTTGCCACAAAAAAACGCTCCAATAGCTATTTTCAACAACAAAATGATAGACAAACCATGGGCGTAGTGAAGAAAAGCATTTACTTATTAAGTAAATTCTTTTAGTCAAATTTCTTCTGAAAGTAGTACAAACTTTAAGCTTTAAATCAATAAATCTTCAAAACTACTGTTTTACATCATTATAAAGGGAATTGAAAGACCTTTAAGATAAGGTATCACTCGACCCCCCTTTCCATTTAAGATTTTAGGGTTGATGTCACCCCCGCCCAGGGGGCTGCACGTATTAACGTGATTTTTTGCCAAACTTGTGTCCCCCTCGAAAACAAAAGCGACGGGTCTGAGCGTTTTTCCAAAAAAAAAAACTGAGCTGCCAGTAAATGCGTCTGTTTCGTTTTCGATGCGCCACCCTGTATATATACAGGGTGACTTTGAAGTTGAGTCATTAATTTTCAGATAATGATTGTAGAAGGAAGATAAACCAGAATATGTGTGTAAAAATAAAAAAAAATTAAAAAAAAATGTTTACCTTGTTTTATAAAGTATCCTCCCGACAAGTATTTCAGTGCGGACCTGTATTTGATCGTGAGGTCCCCTGTGAGGTCTTAAGTCACCTGATTCACGAGCCCGTTGTACTACATTAACAAGGCACGAGGGGTTGGTTGCACTCGATTGGGAAACCGATCCGCATAAACATGTGCCATTTTTTATTTCGTTTAAGCCACGCAACAGACACTATTCACACGCTAACCGACAGACACTGACTGTATGTATAACTGAACTGAATAAAATACTTAATTGCAAAAACATCGTTCCAAATTCTTTCGCTTTTTTGTTTCCGATGCGATGAACCGGTAAGGCGGATTATATCCGTTGTTGCCAAACACGAGTACATGATATTATTATTGAGACAGGGCGGTACTCAAACTTCCAAAGGGCTATAACTTTGTTACTTTAATTTTACCAGAAAAATGGTAAAGGAAAAAAACATTTCTTTTGATCAGATCTACTCACTGTTTAAATAAATGACTCAACTTCGAAGTCACCCTGTATATACATCGCATCGGAAACAAAAAAGCGAAAGAATTTGGAACGTTTTTGCAATTAAGTATTTTATTCAGTTCAGTTATACATACACTCAGTGTCTGTCGGTTAGCGTGTGAATAGTGTCTGTTGCGTGGCTCAAACGAAATAAAAAATGGCACATGTTTATGCGGATCGGTTTCCCAATCGAGTGCAACCAACCCCTCGCTTTACTTTTGACACTCATCGAGTTTCATTTTCCGTGAATATATCTTTATTTGTCAACCGACATGCTTTCAGCTAGAAGCCTTTTTGCAACCTCCAGTTCAAGGATTAGTGATTCAAACTTACGGTGCTGGTAATCTTCCTTCTTCTAGAAAAGATTTGATGGACGTTTTGAGAAATGCAGTTAAACGAAGAATATTGATTGTCAATGTCACACAGTGTTCAAGAGGGACAGTTCAGGCCGACTATGAAACTGGAAAGGTAATTATCTCATTATAACCTTGATTAAATCGTATCTTTGGCCGATTGGACTTCCTCTTCGTGTATCACCATACAACCAATTAAGTCCTGGATCATATTCGCACGAAATTCAATATTACAATAAATGAATCGGTCATTCCAAAAACCTCCTAAGTCACATTTTTTCAGCAGGAAAAAACTCTGACAAATAAACTAGTCTTTTTGGGCCAAGTATATTATTTGAGGTGAGTTTTATCACGAAATATGTTAGTCGTTTATAAATTGAGGCTCATTTTAATCACATTTTTAATTGACTTATAACATGCAATATGCTTGTTAATAGTTTAAGGCCCCCTCGAGAGGATTCAAAACTTGGTAAGTGCGTTGCTGAAAATATATAAAATTCGCTGTGAAGCTGGTTCTCTATATCTATGTAAGAGAGAGTTTCAGTATTAAGCATATTATCTCATGATTCGAACACAGAACTCCTGCGAGTTGTCAAAACTCGCATGCGACACTGGAATTTTATTTTAGTGATTTTTGTCGTCGTTTATCACTGTGCTGCCACTTTTGTATGTTCATTTAATTATAAAATGGACGTTGGGAAAATATGGTCAGTAGGAGTAAGTATTTTCAAGCAAGTCATATTCCTAATTTGTCATTTGCCGTAAAAAATTCCGAACGCATTATTCATTGTCGCTTGGTTCTAGCTTCACGAGATTTTGTCGAACGAAAAACGTCGATTACGAGGTTCAAAAAGGCAATAAGTTCCGTGTGTCATTTTAGCTGTCTCGTATGCGGCATTGACAAATCGACATTGGAAACCACCCCCTTCCCCAATTATCAGTATGCCTTTTGTCAACAAAATAATTGACATTGCAACATCGGTGTTGAATGTGTAATTGAATCTATATAGCTTTTCAAAATAGTTATTGTATATTTAAAAAAATTTCTGACATAAAAATGAGGAGGAATGAGTCAACGATTTTGGTAGGAAGCAACAAAAACTCTTTAAACAAATGATTCTGGGCCCAACCTTATTTTTGTAGATATTGACCTTAAAATTGATATGTTATATACATATATATGAAAACAAAACAAACCAAGGATCCTGGTATTGTTTTTGAAATGACCGATTCAAGTATCCGCCACTGAACGTGCAATAGGTGGTGTTGTTTGATGGGGAAGCAATGTAGTTTCTTACGAGGTGTATACCCAGAATACGTTTCTACGAGTACCTTTCATGGAGCGATAGTTCAGTTAAAAAATATGTTTAAAAAATGAACGTGTGTGGTTTTTGAAATGAACCATTTAAATTGATCGCCATTTCGGCATGTTTCAATCGGGTCCCAGAATATATGATATGATATCTCTCCCTAGAAAATCAAAAATAATGCCACATATCGTTATAGAAATAATCGTTCCCGTGCGCCTCCCTACCCAAAATAATGTTTGAACAGCTCTGTGCAATTGAACAGGACCGGACTAACCCTAACGCAATATTGCAAAAAAAATGTTCACGCTGTATCATGATGGGCCAATTTTTAACATTTTTGAAAAGTCTGATGCGTAGGCTGAAAAAAATGTACTATTGTCTGACATCGATTAACGCGTATATAAGCTAGAGATGGGATTAATGAGTTGCGATTCTGAAATGAAAATCGAGAAGTGATTTAATAAATACAATCGGACGGTGAAACCGTTACAATATCAAAAATGGCTCGCAATTCAAATCAGTCAGTTATATATCGGCCACCCTGTACAAAAAAACATACAATAACGATTATAAATACGTAAAAGTATTATACTTGAGTTTACTAATCGTGAATATTGAAAATTTAATCATACATATACTAAGTGACATATAAATCCGAACACCCAGTTTAAATGGTTTTATTTTAATAAAATTTTGTATAAGTACTTAATGAAGCATAATAAGTAAATGATAAAAAATTCAAAATGATTGCACTGCTTTAAAGCCCTTTGACCTTTAATAATGTGTGGATGCACCCTGGTGTGCTACGCATTCTCCAACGCGCCTAGGCATGCTTCTGATCAGGTGGTCAATGCCCTCCTGTGGTATCTCATTCCAGGCAACCACCAACTCCTCTCGAAGTGCTTCTAGAGTCTGAGGAGGACGTTGCAAATTGAGCAATCTCCTACCCATCATATCCCACACGTGCTCAATTGGGGATAAGTCGGGAGATCTTGGTGGCCATGGTAACACTGTGACATCATTATGTTGAAAGAAGTCTATTGTGACTCTTGCGACATGTGTTCGGGCATTATCTTGTTGGAAAGTTGGATCTGCCAGGGTGTCAAGATAGGGTAAAAGATGGGGTTCTAGAACTTCGTGGATATAACGCTGCGCGTTCATGTTACCTCTGATGAGGATTAAAGGTGACCTGGAACCATAAGCTATAGCACCCAAAACCATAACTCCAACAGTGTGATGAACATGTCTTTCAACAAAAAACTGTGGATTCCTCCTTTCACCACGTCGCCTTCTAACCCTGGTACGACCATCGTGCATGCCTAAACAAAATCGAGACTCGTCACTAAAGACAATACTGTTCCATTCCTGATCCCAGAGTGACCGTTGTCTGCACCACTCAAGGCGATTACGTCGGTGTTCTCGAGTTAAAGGGAGGACCCAGTGTGGCCGGTATGAAAACAAGCCAAAACTTCTCATTCGTCGGTAAACACTTCGCATGCCAATAGGTCTTCCGTGTTCTGCAAACCATTCATTTGCAATGCACCTGGTAGTGGAGAAACGGTCCCTTAAGGCCAATAATCTTAGGCGGCGATCTTCACGGTCTGTTGCTCTACGACGGCGTCCAGTGCCCCTTGCTCTTTGCGTACGGCCTTCTCGAAGCCATGCCTGACAACACCTAACCACAGTGTCTACACTTCTTTGCACTCTAACTGCAATTGCCCGAAAAGAAAGTCCAGCTTCCCGAAGCCCCACTATACGGCCGCTATCAAACTCACTAAGTTGACGAAATCGTACAGGTCTCCGTACTCTAGGCATCGTAACCGATCGTAAAGGATGTCAAGAACCAAAATCCGCCAACGTTGATTCTTTACTGCGGCTGAAATATTCATTTTTAGAGCGTTAGTGAATTAAAAAAAAGCAGTATAAAAACCGGAATGTCCAAGTGATAAGGCTGAAAATTTTTTCACTTGTTATTTACAGTAAGATAAATACATTCACCAACTTTTATTAAAATAAAACCATTTAAACTAGGTGTTTGGATTTATATGTCACTTAGTATATGAATGTACACAGAAAAGGAAACATTTTGCGAAGTGAGTGGTCGAACTATGCAGGAGAGTACTTTCTAAAATAAATCGTTCAATCTGTTTTTAAAGTCATTGTAATTTAGTGATTTCATTGCCTGAGGTTCTTCATTATAAAGTGTTATCGCATTGTATGTGTAGCACTTATGATCTGAATTTTCAGACCATCTCGTCGAATTATAGAGTTATAAGACTTTCTGGGAGTGGGTGCAGCGTAAATCGTTATAAAAAATACTGGTAAAAGTTGCTTTTCTCAAGAAACGACTCATGTTACCGAAATCAAACAAGAGTAAATGTTTTGCAAAAATATTACTTTTAGGCGATTATTATACAGGGTGTAAAAGCATACGCAATATTGTATTAGAGCTAGCGCGTTCCTGACTACCTAAATGAATTGGTTTCCATGGACATCATCAAGTAACACTCCTAATCCTATGCTATCAAAATTTCTTTGAAATATACAGTATTAAAAAGGTACTCAAGAAAAAATGTCTTATAGGGGCTTGTATCTCCGAAGAGGAGACACTTAGAACCTTTTGTTATACAGAAACCTGTGTCATTTTTGTCGTATGGAATACGTATACGAGAGATTGACATGCTATTTTAAGTTTTCTTTAGAATGAATATCTTCAACAATATTTTCATATAAATCATTGCAGGTATTACAGGATATGGGCATAATATTAGGTGCAGATATGACCGCTGAAGCAGCTTACACAAAACTGATATTCGTGTTGGGCTTACCAGAATTGTCATTTGACACAAGGGTTAAGGTACGAGTAATTTGGCAGTTAGATTGAAAAAATATTCTCTCCAACGCCACGATTTTTTTACATTGCACAAGTTTGTCGAAAAAAGTGATTGCCTCTTCACCAGCACATTTTTGAACTGCTTTTGAATCAAATATTCAAGCAACTAAATTAGTGAAGCTAACGATTAACGAACCTATTATGTATGCAATCCTTTTTCTCTCAAATCTCCAAGACCTAATGATGCTCAATACACCACATTCTGATTTTAGCTAATGAAATCAGATTTAAGAGGAGAAATGACTGTAAATAGCAAGTGCTCCTGTCGATGAAGAAAGTTAAGGATAGACAAAAACTGAATTGATACCTAAAGATTGGCTGAGGCCTGATAGATCGAATTATTTATCGAAACTGCATTTTATGTAAATATATTTTTTAATAAAGCAAGAAAAGTAACTTTTTGTATTATTGTAGATACCTATTTCTGTATGATAAGATATTCACGAATTTTTTTAAGAGAGAATCGAGATTTAAATCCGATCATTGTATTTCGGAAATCAAAGAAAACATCCCTACTGATTGCTCTAAATGTGAAAGTTTGTAACTTCTATTTTGAGGCAGAGTCGGACTAAGGGATTGAACGGTACTTACAAGTTTGCTAGATATTGCTAGCTATAGTCTACTGTCCACCATCGGCAAACGTGCTTGACTGTTTTCATCAATTAACTGAGTCTTTAACCAACCTTTCACTCGATAATGATTACGCAATTGTCATGGGCGATTTTAATATTAATGTTTTAGTGAACGACGGCCGATCCGAGATGCTGAACTGTTTTCTTGAGTCTTTTGATCTGTCTCAGTTAGTGAATGAGCCCACACGTATAACTTCCAATAGCCAGACAGCTATAGACTTGCTCATGGTTAGCTCTGCTGATATAATAAGTGGTTATGAAGTTGTTGACGTAGATGGAATATCCGACCATCTAGCCCTAATATTTTATGTAGATGCATCGGAGATAGGCAACCTATGTAAACTGAGGTCATATCGTGATTACTCTACCTTTAGCCTAGACAATTTCTACCATGATTTACTTTTAATAAACTGGGATTTTATATATACGTTAAGAGATGTGGACTTCCTGAGCTCTAATATCTTGTGCACCTTCAACTTGCATGCTCCTGTCAGAAACATTCGAGTTACCAAGCCACCAGCTCCTTGGCGAACATTCAACATAAAACTCATGATGCGAACAAAAAGTGACGCATATAAAAAATTTAAACGTACAGGAACGATTGCTGCCTGGGAATTCTATAAGAAAATCAGAAATTATGTTTGTGGTGCTATTAGGCGAGAGAAAAAAGCCTACCTCGATTATGTTATGAGACATAAAAATTCGAAGACTACATGGAATATACTTAGATCTTTGAATATCGTTAAACATAACTCCATAAGTCTACCTCCACATCTTCAGGATCTCGATTCATTAAATAGTGCTTTTTTAAACGTACCTCAAACAACCAAATCATTAACTCAATTGAACCTTTTAGACAAATATGAAAACGTCAAGAATAGTGGTACTTTTCTGTTCACGACAGTTTCCCCTGCCACTGTAGAGAAATTTATCAATCGCATCAAAAGTCATACTAAAGGCTCAGATGGCATCACAATTGATATGATCCGTATAATACATAAGCATTTGCTCAAGTATGTTACCTTCATTATTAACTTTTGTATAACAAATAATCTTTATCCCTCTTCCTGGAAGAATGCTCTTGTTCTCCCTCTGCTTAAATCTAATTATCCTTCAAGTTTTTCTGATCTTCGCCCTATAAGCATTTTACCAAGTTTATCTAAGCTTTGGGAAATGGCTCTACATGAGCAGCTGCACACATTTGTTTGTCAAAATAATTTACTGACCACCTCCCAATCTGGCTTCAGACCATTACATAGCACCACCACTGCGCTCCTGTCTATATCGGATAATATTTATAGCACGGCTGATCAAGGAAAGCTGTCCTGCTTAGTTCTTCTTGATTTTAGCAAGGCCTTCGATACGGTTGACCCAAATATTCTCTGTAAAAAGCTTAGATACTTTGGCCTGTCATCATCGGCTTGCACGCTGATTAAGAGCTTTTTAACTGATCGCCCACAGTCTGTCATATATGAAAACAATATATCAACTTCTTTATTCAGAAATTTTGGTGTCCCTCAAGGATCTGTTTTGAGTCCCCTTTTATTTGCTCTTTATATATGTGATTTTCATGAAACCGCCAGCTACTCAATCGTTCATCATTACGCCGATGATACCCAACTTTATAACTGCTTCGATCCTGATGAATATATGCTTGGCCAACATCAAATCAATCAAGGTCTGCAGTCTATTTTTGACATATCTGGTGCTCACAATCTAAAACTAAATCCTGGCAAATCATGCTGCATTTTATTTGGGCCAAAAAGGAATCGTGAAATAAATCAATATCGCATTAATTTTATGGTGAATAATGAAGACATATCCTTCGTAAACGAATGCAAAAACCTTGGTATCTGGTTTGACTGCAAGCTACGCTTCACTAAACACGTTAACCAACTATGCAATGCGTCCTATAATGTGCTTCGTCAGTTATACCCGAGTCGAAGTGTCCTGTCGACACAGCTCAAGCTTAAACTCTGCGAGTCCCTTATCCTGTCAAAATTATCTTACGGTGACTCTGTTTATGGACCTGCTCTTTTACAACGTGATGCCGAGCGGATTCAGATGATACAAAACTCATGCATCAGGTTTTCTTATGGAATCCGTAAATTTGATCATATTAGTAGCGCTTTTGACCAATCGGGATGGTTTAAGATGAACAAATTGAGGAAACTGCATTGCCTATCTCTGGTACATAAGACCCTTATCCTTAAAGCGCCATATTATCTTTATACAAAACTAAGCCTCCTCTGCCAGTACGATCAAAGATCCTCTAGGAATAAACTCATCTTACTTATCCCGCGGCATTCGACAGCATTGTTCACACGCAGTTTCTCGTACTGGGCACCCAAACTATATAACTGCTTATCAAGTGAGTATAAAGAATATAGCCTAAGCAATTTTAAAAAAAGGTTAAAGATGAGTTTAAAGCAGTCGGATGGCTGAAATTTTACTTTATGCATATCCACAGGTAATTGATTGTTTCCTTTCTCTGATAAGTGTTATATTCCAAGTTTTTTTTTTCTCTCTCTCTCTATAGTTTGTGTCAATGTTTTCCAGGTCGGGTTGAAAAAATCCACCTTTTCGTCACTGTTCCTTTTAAACCAATTATTTTGTAATCGTGTGACGAATAAAGGCCATTTATTTATTATTTATTTATATTGCTTGGACGTTTCTAGTATCTAAAAATTGGCAACGATGAGGTTCTGTTTAGAGTGGACTTGAACTAAGAATGCATTGTGTAACCGCAAATTTGGCAGCTCTCTTATTAATTTAGTTTCATTTGGAATGCTAGTTTCAAAAAATGGTAATATCATTAATTTGTCATTTATCCGCCGCGCGGTTTTACCCCCGCACGGGTATCACGTATCTTGAAAAGTGACATTATGCCGATTTTTTTGACATTCTTTAGGTTTTTCTACAAGATGTTAACTTAGCACTTAGTTGTACGTGTTGGCTAAACGTCATGAGGCTTGTTATTAATCTTTGACTCTGATGTGATGTAAAATCTGCTTCTGAGATGGCATGACTGGAGGTCTAAGCTATAAGTTGTATGTGTTGATGATAATTACATTGGGTTCTTGTCTCAAATACACTAAATTGAGATTCAGAGCTAAAAATTAGTTGCGCATCCACTTTTTCTTATCCATTCTGGAAATTACATATAAAAATTTGCTGAATTTAAAAAATGAGAGAGATAAGAGATAATTATATTCACTGTACAGTAATTACACATAACGCGGGCGCGGTGATGATTTCCCGTAATTCTCCTTAGTTTTTCGTAATTTATAACTTTGAACATACCTAACCTCTCTTCAGAAAGCAGAACATGAAAATAGCCTGTCGGGGTCAGCCAATAGAGATACTTCATTGGCAGCATATTCAGTAATGATTTTCTCACACAGCAAATATCTCTGATTTTATATACATGCAGACCAATACACATAATCATCCAGATGCGATTTTGCCACTCAACCAACTTTCTTCTCAGAGATAAAAACTACAGACAAGGACCATTTGGCCTCACAAAACATATGCAACCAATAATGCGTGTAGTTTAGTTGAGTGATTCCCCCTTAGATGGACGTTCACAACGATCCTAGTGAACAAACGTGGAATGACTGCTTGCGCCCTAGTTTGCAAGATGACATCTTAAAGGTTTTTTTTGACGTTTTATAGGTTTTTTACATGATACCCATGCTGCATAGAAGGGGATGACATAAGTTGATAAACAAAATTTCAAAGTGGTAACACGAAACTAAAAGGTGTCTCAATTAATAAAAGAACCAAATTTCCCAAGCATACAAGTTGAATGTCGATTCACTAATGGAATTCAATCATTGCAATACTCAAAATAACGTTACATGTTAATAACAATTTAACGCGTACGAAGTCACGAGTAACAGATAGTTGCATATAATTTTAATACGAATATCATCTACACTACTTAATCAGTCGAAGTCATTCACTTCACTTGGAGTGTCAACTGAGTCGTCCAATGGTTCTTCCTCATTATCTATTCTGTCTCTATCTATATCCACTCCTAGAATATTTTCGAATAAGTCCTTATATTGTATTACCTGAAACCAGAAACATTCTTGATGAAACTGTCATCAACTAGCATACAGGTCCTTTGATGGTTCATACCGGATTACAGTGAAACTGCAGGAATGCACGGAAGTTTACGTAAGCTCAGAGGCATACAGGGTGTTCATTTGAAAACATCCCACCACGGATTCATCGAATACCACTGATTACAAGAAAAAACGCCGAGACACGTCAAAAGATTTGTCAAGGGGATAACTTTTTAACCAAAAACTACTTCACCCCTTTCACTCTCGGCCCCCCAGGGTCATTCCCTTAAAAAGTTTAAATGACAAGAGGTATCGAGTAACAGCTTGTTTGAAAGGCCCTTCAATGTTCTTAATTCTGCAGTTTGATTTTTTGAAATCAGTCGATTCGTTTTTGAGAAAATTAGAAAAATCTTTATTTATCTTAATTGGTTCAGACAAACACACGAAAATATCACTTTTTATTACAATAAGTGTTCAAAATGTTGCTCGTTAGGGTTTGAAAAATCTACAATTCGTTTATAATTTAAAACGGAAACTACCAACATAAACAGCAATTCGGAAGACGGGGTAACAACCAAATAACAACCTGAATTTTTCCGCATTCTTTTCATCCTGAGTGAACTGTATTTATTGTTATACCTGTTTAGTTATTTGTTGCTGAGGGAAATAATAATTTAATTTGCTGTCAGTT